AGTGAAAAGTGCGTTTTCTTTTTGCGGACAGGTGGGGAGTCAACTGGACATTTACCTTTATTTATTTTTAAGTTTTACCTTAAATTTTCTATAAATTCTGATTTTCAAGTTTCTTTTAAAATTCTGATAATAAGTTTATTTTTCTAAATTCTGATTTTATTTTTTAATTCTGATTCCAAGTTTATTTATAAAAATCCACCGCTTTGCTTTCAATTAATTCTTTTTTCGACCACTGTCTCCCTCCAATACTTTTGGCTATCACTTGACGTTTTTCCCCAAATTTTGGATTTCTATATTTAGCTTCCGGATTTGGTTGAGACCACAAAGTTAAAATTCTTTCAGTTTGCTTTGGATCTGTCAGGATTTCTTGGCAACGCTTCTTTGCTTCTCCTTCCTTTAATTTTTTAATTAAATAAAATTTCAAAAAATCTCTAAACATGTTCAACAACTCGGGTAACTTGTTCTCTAATTGCTCCAAACGGTGATTGTCCAGATTGAGTAACCGAAGAGGCTCTGCTTAGTCTGGGAATGATTGAAGGGTTGCTTCCGTGTAATTCTTTAGTCGAGTGGATTTTTATTGCTTAAGTTTTTGTTTCAAGTTTATTTTTTCAAAATTCTGATTTTTAAAGTTTATTATAATTCTGCTTCAAGTTTTAAGAAATTCTGATTTTTTCATTTTTTTCAGAATTTTAATCGTAATGCTTATTTTCTATAATTCTGATTTTCAAGTTTATTTATAAGTTTTGCTTCAAGTTTTTAAGTTTATTTTTTTAGAATTTTAATTAAATCAGAATTTTCTATAATTCTGATTTTCAGGTTTATTTTTTGTATTTTTTTCAGGTTTATTTTTAAATTCTGATTTATTTTTAGAAATTCTGATTTTTCCAGTTTATTTTCTTACTTGTATCTCTGCCTGCCTGGTTTAAAAATTTTTACTATAGTTTTTAAAAAATCCATATCTTGGCTAAAAATCGTCAGATCTTAATTTAAATCGTTGAGAAATTAGATAAGACTCTGATTAATAAGTATGGAAAAAATAGGGTTAATCGGCGCGATACAAAAATTTTTCTCACGACGTTAATTTTTAGATAATAAAAAAATGTTACAAGCAAATAAATCTAATTATTTTCGAGAATTAAACAGAAAAGGAGTTGAAAAGAGGCAGAAAAAAAAAGAAAAACAAAATGAAAAGACAAAGAATGCTTCTTTGGCGCGAAGAAAAAAAGGTCTTTTGTTTCATTTACATTACATTTTAGTCTTAATGTTAAATTTATTTTTAGTCGTTTCTGATGTTCCAACAGTTGCTAATGAATCTGATACAGAATGTAATGAAGGTGTTTCTTCAACAAATTTGTCTGACTCAACTGAGTAGGTTTATAAATTATGGAAATATTAATTACTCCGTGCTTTTAAAAATTTTATCTTTGAAAATTTTTTTAAATTCAAGTCTCGTCAAAAAAGCATTTTTCGCTCCATTATCAATGAGTGGAGCAGATAGAGACGATTCTCCCTGTATTCCTGTTCAAAACAAAACTCTTCCAGAAATTAAAGCTGAATTAATACGTCTATTTTTAAATGTAATATTTTTTGATTTTCCTTCTTAAAATATCTTTTTACTTTTCAGATTCAAGAACTTAGTCATTCCGTTGTCGGACAAAATGCATTTCAAGTGGAATATAAAAAGTTGGCTTATGTTGGAGCTTCAAGAACAGTTAAATTTCAAGGTTTTAAGCTTAAAGGTAATTTCATGTATAAATTTAATTATTTTAGTGGATATTCTAACACCTCCAAATCAACGAAGATACTCTCAAAACTCTATTACTTGTTCAGAAATAAATGATTATTATGTTGTTCAATTTACTTTGATTTCTGGTAGATTTCTTTAAATTTTATTTTAATTCTGTTCTAGGACCTCTTCGAAGATTTCGTCGATTATTTGAATATTTTTCTACTGTTCTCCAAAGTTCACAACGGGCTGTTTTCCCGCGTAAAATTTCTTCAACATTATCCTTTAACTCTGATGAAGCTCACTCGGTGGATATGCAAATGTCAGATCAATTAACTACACTTTCTTTTTCACCGTCCACCCGTATTAGATCTCGTAAAAGTGATAAATTTAATTATTTTAGTGGATTTTGATTGTATTTTTTTCAGCTTCTCTTCTTAAACCCGTTTCAACAAATCAAAAGAAGGCTTCCACTTCTTTTCAGAACTCCGTGGGCTATTGCATTTTTTGTTCATCTTCAAAAATTAGATACGGTAGAAGACATTTTTCCACGCAGTTGTGCAATTTTAACTCCTTTTACAACAATTTAACTTGCTGGTCAATTGTATTTGAACAAATTATAAATCGAACAATGAATATTGATACAAAAGAATTAACAAATTTTATCACAACACCAAAAGGAGAATCTATGGTACAATTTTAAGTAGAAATTAGAATGGAAGAAAAAATTTTCAGGTCTACATCGTCAGAAAAGGATTAGACTTTACCGATTTAGTCTACGTGGGCACGACAAAAGATTTCAATAAAAGAATTAGCCATCATCAAAAAGACAAAAGAAGAACCTTTAGGAGACAAATGGAGAAAAAAAATATCAACGCGGAAGCTTTACAACAAGCAGTTTTAATGCAAAATTTGACCCATGAAAATGCACTTTTTTTGGGTTACCTTTTCTTATATTTGTTTTTATTTATGATTTTTCAGAGGCGCTTTTAATTTTATCAGACAACCAATCCAACCTATTCAACAAAAACTCCGAACATAACAACATTCTTCGCATTTTTGAGTACAGAGTTAATCTACACGAAAAAGTATCTTTAATATTTTAATGTTTTTATTTGTACTTTTTTAACTCAGGTGCTCCATTATCACAAAATGGCAATTCAACTCCTGATAGAAAGATGGGACATGTTGACATGGATTTAAGATTTATTTAAATTATGTAATTTTAAGGATTTGGTTATTTTATAAAATGATAAAAGTTTTATTTATAAACTTGCTGTGCTCTGCCCAAAGGCACCCATTCCCTTTTGTGACTCGTATTTATTACTTCCATATTCCCAAGGTATACAAGGTTCACTCAAAATCATTTTCCGTCTTAAATGGGGTTCTCGAACACGTCTGAGTCGTTCCTAAATATTTCAAGTTTATTTTTCTGTATTTCTGATTTTTTAAATTTTGGTTTCATTTAAAAAATTCTGATTTTAAGTTTATTTTCGTAAATTCTGATTTTTAAAAATTCTGATTTTTAAGTTTTAAAAATTCTGCTTCAAGTTTAATTTATTCCTAAAAACCCCACCAACAAAGCAATCCTTTCCCGCCTTCTTTCCTCTTCATATTCCTCACTAATATAATAATTAATAACACCTTCATCTTCTTCATTTTTATTTTCTTCCTTTAATTTTAAATTATCTTCAATTTCTTCATTTTCACTGTCACTACTCATTTTTTAAATTTTTTAAAATTATTTTTTCACAAAAATAGGCCAAAAATTATTGAATTTTTGAAGAAAAATATACAAAAAATATTTTTATTTATTTAAAAAGAAAAATAAATAATAAATTTGGTGGATGAGCACCTCTTCTCTCTTTTCCCCCACTCCATTCACTACTCTTTTGTGTACATTCCCCCCAAAAAATAATTTGTGTATCCTCCACCTGCTTTTTGTTTTGCTGTTCCTCTTAAACGAGTTGTTTGTTATTTAGTGATTTTCTCTTACAAAACTTTTACCTGTCTCTCTTTTTTAGAGTTTGTTCTTTCCTCGAAAAAAGCAAAAAAAAAACAAGGGGAAGGGAATTTGCATTAAATAAATTCTGATTTTAAAAATTCTGATTTTCAAGTTTATTTATGAAATTCTGATTTTAAAGTTTATTTTACAAAATTCTGGTTTTCAAGTTCATTTTTACAAGAATTCTGATTTTAATTTATTCTAAGAAATTCTTATTTTTCAAGTTTATTTTTTTAATTCTGGTTTAAAGTTTATTTTCTGATTTTTAACTTTATTTTAATAATTCTGATTTCATATTTATTTTCCCCAAATTCTGATTTCAAGTTTTAAAAAATATTTTCTGATTTTAATTTATTTTTCAAAATTCTGATTTTATTTTTTTGCTTCAAGTTTATTTTAAATGGTTAATAAAAAGGAAGCAGACAAAGCTTAAAGAAATAATTGATTAAGAGCGCTGACACTTTCCCCCAACGAACACTTTCCCCCAACACTTTTCTACAATTAAAAATACATATTTTTATAAATGTTATTTAGTTCAATTTTTAAAAAATTTATAAAATTTATATAGTGTAGATAAACAATTTTTTGAGGCTCCTTTTTAACAAATGTATAAGTGAAGTGAGATGTTATAAAATAAATATAGGCATCTTTTGAGAGAGAAAAGGGATTTTAAAATTAACTTAAAATTAGGGTTGGCCCCCCTTCAAACGATAATTTTTAAGGTCATTTCCAAGCCCAGAACCTCAATTTCCCCGACACTTCCGTTCTTCGAAAAAAGTTTTCTCTGACGGGTCGGAGACCCATCCTAATTTGAATTAAACCTTCCGTTTTTGCCAAAAAAAAATTTTTTTTAATTCAAAATAAAATTTAAAAATCTCCTCTCCCCCAGAAAAAAATAAAAGTAAAAGGCAATTCAATATTCAATATAATATTAAAATTTAAAAATAACCGAAGTTCTCTACAACTTTCTAAAACAACAAAGAGATTTCTTGTCCAACAAATTTTTTAAACTTCTTTTATTAATCTTTCAATTCCATCGCCCTTTCGTAATAGTCAAAGAGAATCTTTAAAAAAAAATTTTTAAATTTTCAAAAATTAAAAAAAATACTTTAGGCGCCTCATTCTTCAAAGTTTCCGTAAGGACTGATTTGATTGACCCATCTTTCATAACAACATCAGCAACAAGATCCATTATCCCTTCAATTCCGCTCGGGTGGACACTCGTTATCAGAGAAATATTTGCGACATTTAATTTGTACTGCTTCTTTGTCAAAACTTGAAAAGCAAAAAAATTTTCAAAAAAATGTCAAAATTAAATAACCTCCTCCATTTTCATTGTTTTCTTTAGCATGCTTGCGTGTAACAACACCAGCCCCAGACTGGCCTTCCAATGAATCCGAACGCAAGGGGGTTGTGTCCTTGCTGAAGGAATTTGTGGAAGCAGTCGTTTTTCCTCCATTGCTGGAATTGCTTCCCTTAAAAGATAAAAAAAATAATTTGCGGACAAATTTAGCGGATTAAAATAAATTTGCGGACTAAAATAAAATTAAAAATTCCACAAACCTTTCTCTTTGTGAAGGATGTAGATCTTGCTCGTGTGCCCGGAAACTCTTCCAATTTTTGCTTCTTCGTCACTGGCTTCTTGTCAACCCCAACAGAACTAGCTCGCTTCTTCCCCTTCTTCCTTCCATTTTTCTTCCCGTTTTTGCCATTTGAAGAGACTTGTTTAGAAGCAAAAGAGGTTGTAGGCTTGGAATCTTCAATATTTTCCAATTTGGCCTCCTTTTGTTTTGAAGCTTTAGTCGGAACAAGACCCTGGGATCTCTCGTACTTCTCAATGGCTTCGTAGCAATGACGCTAAAAAATAAACAATATTTTGAAAATAAATGGAAATCTGAGGGGCCAGGGACTTGTTTTCCGGGGCTGGTAATTTTTCCAGTTTTTAACATGGACAAAAATTTCCCCTCTCATCCCCCCCGGAATCCCGCTTAAAGATTGAATAAACCAACAAAAAGCAAACCAAATTATCTTCCGGTTCCCACGAAGCATCCGAGATGGCATAACCCTTCCAGAAGACGCGGTACTCGATTTTCCCTTTATGAAGCTTGTCCGACCGTTTACCAAAAATGTAGTCAACCTTAAAAATAAATTTGGATAAAAAATACTTCAGATTATTCAAATTAACCTCATATTGAGGGACTTCCTTCTTAATATTCTTCCTTCCAACATTTCCACTTTTTGGCGCTTTTCGTTTCTTTGTCTGTTTCTCCAATTTATCCATAGTGAATATTTGCGGTTTTTTAATTGTCCTTCTGTTGAAATTAAAAAATAATTTTTTTAAATAAGCGTTGTTTGGAGAATTTGTGGTCACGAAGAAAAAGATAATAAAATGAAAATAATTTTCTAATAAAAAATCTGAAAATAGAACAAATTGTTGATGAGTAGGAATGGAAATTTAGAAAAACCTTGACATGGATTCACGATTTTGGTTGAGGAATTTGAATCAGATTCTTGACCTCGAGTCAAGGAAAAATCAGGGAACACTGAGAAATGTCTTGACTCTGAATTCAAAGAAAATCAAGGTCTGGATTCAAATCCAGACCGATCTCTATTGAGCTCCTTGGTTTCTCCTTAACTCCAATAAAAACAAAAAAACTTTTTTAAATGACCACACAATTCCAAACAAAATTTACAAATTTAAAAAACCTCGAAGTAACAGTCTCATTACTCTCAACATTCTCCACGTCAATAAAAACATTGTCCAAATTTATCTCATCCATTTGCTCTTCCATTTGCGGAACATAGTCGTGATCCGAAAAGGAAATATTTTCTTCTTTTACGTTGTGGGCCATTGTTTCTCAAAGAAAAATTTTGTTTTGAAGGTAAAATTCTGAATAAATAAACAAAAAAACAAGAGATTTTATTTAGAAAACATTAACTTAATTAAGAAGAAAAAACCAATAAAATCGATTAGAAGAACGACTAGAAAAGTTTATGGAGAATAAATCTTGGCGGAAAAAGTAGAAGAAAAAAACTTTGTTTTTATATTCGATATATTGATTTATTATTTACGATTTGGGATTTTGAAATATTTTGCCAAGCAGAATTTCAAATTGTCAACTAAAGAGAAATACATAATATCTAAATTTAAAAAGGGTAAGGAGTTGTTTTTATTTTTTATTTCCTTTTAGGGTTTTTAATTTTTTTTGAATTAACTAAAGTGTTAATTTTTTTTAGAAATTCTAAAGGGATTCGCGCCCTATTGAATATACAATAAGAATAAAAACTATGCAAACCAATTTTTTTCTAGATAACAATCTTTTGCTTTTTTAAACATTTAAATATTTTTTCAGTATTTATTGATTGCTAGGGAATACTGAATTGGGGGTAATATTAAATTTTCTCTTTTTTGCTAATCATTTACTGAAAAAAATTAAAATTCACACACATTTTTTCTCTTTTACTGGATTTTTTTTTGCAATTTTTTTCTCCAATTTTAGCCTTTATTTAAATTTTATTTTATTCGACCCCCGGGAACGGGGGGGAGGTCTTCCCGCAGAGCCTCCGTTCTCCGTCCCCGCACATAGAATTCCCCGCAACCCCCGTTCAATTGCCCTGAAAGGTCGCACCCTAATTTAAATTGGCTATTTGATTTTTAACTTGCAAATATGTTTTTAGTTTAAAATATAAATAGGTAATAGTGTCGTTTCCAGTCCCCCTTTTTCCTCCCCAAGCTTTTCCTATAAATTTGTACAAAATGGGAAGACTTTTCCTTCTTTGATCACAATTGCCTTACTATATTTTACCCACAAACAAACAAAAATGATTATTTTTTATCCAGTTTTTTAGAAAGGAAGAAAAGTAAGTGAAAGAAAAGTCTGTCCATTCTGTACAAATTATAGGAGAAAACTTGGGGAGGAAAAAAAGGGGGACTGGAAACGACACTATTACCTATAAATATATCCTCATTTTTCAGAGATTATATATCAAATTATATTTAAATTTAATTTATTTGCATTATTTTATTTATATATTTTATGTCGGACAGTTCAACAACAACAACAAATGACTCTCCTATAAAAATTCGTGATGCTTCTTTATCTTCATCGCGTGGTGGACACAAAGGGGGTTATAGACCTAAGAAGAATTTGCAGCAACAAATTGGGGTATTTTTTTTTATTTTTTTTTAATTTGCGGTTATTTTTTGCGGAGTTTTTTTTTAGTTTTTATGATTTTTATTCTTGTTTTAAGATAGCCAAATTTATTTTAATTTTTTTCGTGAGCGTGGGTGGTGTAGGTGGTAGTGGTGGCGTTTATGTAGATTTTCGATGAGGGTTCGATACCTCTTGGGGGTTTTTTTGTTATTTTTCTAGTTTATACACGTTTAATTTGCTTTTTTTAATTTTAAAAAATTTTTCGTCTTTTTTTAACCGTTAACGACTTTGTTTTTTTTTGTTTTTTTTTTTAAATTATTTTGACTTGATTGTAAAATTAGGAGTATTTTTTCTTTCAATTTTTCTCTTTTTTTCTTTTCAAGACTCTTTTTCTTTTAAGGGAAAAAATTTTATCATTAGCTAAAAATTCCTAGCCTTTTTAAATTTTTATATCCAAAATCCGCAAATGTTGTCCGCAAAATTAAAAAAAATTTTTCTAGTTATTAGAAGGAGAAATAAATAAAGACAATGAAGTGGATCTCAAAGTTTCTGACATTAAAGAGGACAATAATGATGGGGCTATTTTGGCTGGAGAAATTGAGAAGGTGGAGATTGCTGATGACAATGTTGTTATGTACCAAAAAAGTGATGAAGATGATGAAAGTAGTGACAGCAGTGGAGTTGATTTGACTTTGGAGAGGGATCCGAAAAGTTTTTTTTCTTTTAATTTTTAAAAATAATTCTCTTTTAGGATGCGATTTTTGTGGAGATTTGACTCATAAAAGTCGTTATTGTTCTGTTTTGGGTCAACGGTCTGAAGTTGGTGGAAGTGGAGGAGGAGGGGGAAGTAATCCTCCTTCAATTGGTGGTGTTCGGACATGTTTTCATTGTTTCGAAGAGGGGCATATTCGAGTGGATTGTCCTAAACGAAAAGGTTTTTTTTTAATTTTTGAGGATTTTTAAAAATATTTTTTAAAGTAACAACCTGTTTTTACTGCAATAAACAAGGACATCTTAGAGCTGATTGCCCCAAAAGGGCTAATTTGGAGACTAAAAAGCGGGAAAGAGGTTTCTATTTTATTTTAATTTTTTTGTTAGTTAGAAAAAGGAAAAATATCTCTCATACTTCCGATTTGGATTGATAAGCATCTTCCAAATTTTAACCCTGAAGAATCCCTTTGGTTTTTGATTTTTCAATGTAGTGTAGAAAACCCACCCCCTCCTCTGGTTGCGGGCTTATCTCGGTCCTTAGTTGAATCCTTATATTAATTTTGGTGTCATTCAGCTAAGGGTGGGCTCTTTTAAATAACATATTGTCTGTCCGAATCGGATTAGAGAGCTAAATTTTATCAAAAAAAATTTTTTTATTTAAAGTTACCTACACTTTCCGCAAACCTTCCAGCAAAAAAGAAGAGAAAGACGACACATCTCCACCAATTAAGGATGTTTATGAAATTCCTTCTAGTGGTTGTGAAGACAATTCTGACATAAAAAGCATTAAAGGTGAAGAGAAATCTCAACATCACATTTTTGTGCCTCTCCCTGTTCCTGCGTCGCAAGTTAGAGCGCCGGTTATGCTTCGAAGTAAATTTATTATTTTTGTTAATTATTTTAAGGGAGTAATATCAAAATTTATTAGAAAGACCGTTAACACGCCGGGTGGTGTAGTTGGTAGTGGGTTAGGCTTACCAGTGAAAAATGGGTTGGGTTCGAATCCCTCTGTTGAAAAACATTTTTAATATCAACTTAATAATTTTTTTGGGAATAAAATTTTTATTTTTGAAGATTTAAAAATTTATTTTAGATTTTTAGAATCAAAATTAGTTTTAAAACAGTCTAACGATTATTTTTTTCTTGAAAGAGGTTAAGGTTCGAATCCTTTTGGTGAAATTTTTTGATTAAAATTTTTATAAGCCAACCAAGCTAGGTTGATGGATCTCTTTCTTGCTACATAAATATACTATTTTTAGTGGTATTTTAGGCGGGATAATCTATTTAAAAAAATTTTTTTTAATTAAAAAATTTTTGGGACACGCCCAAGTAGGCGCGCGGCCATGTAGGCGCAAAGCCATAACTAGCTGGAAAATTTCTTGCCATTATCAATTTTGGTACCAACCTCTTTAGCTCGATGAGAGGAATCGTTTAATACTAAATTTGGTAAGATTCGGAAAACCTGAAGCAAGTTATGGCTTTGCGCCTACATGGCCGCGCGCCTACTTGGCTGTACCCAAAATTTTTTTTAATTTTTTAAAGGTAAACTTTTATCTTCTGACAGTGAACCTTCAATTTCTCATAAAATTTTGCGTTCTGAAAGTTCTGAGGAGGAAGATGATATGGAATCTTGTCATGAAAGTGATGATAATGGTGAAAATGATGGAGAAGGAGGAACAAATATTTTGAATAAAGAAAATTCTTTGGAGGAAACAAAAAAGAAAGTTTTGGATATTCAAAGTAGAATTACTCTTCAACCAGCAATTGTTAATGACAAAAATGAAAATAATTTGGGTGAAGAAGATGAACTTCAAACTATTTCTGTTGAGGTTTAAAATTCTTTTAATTATTTAAATTTATTACTCCCCTCCCCCGAAATGGAGAAAAGGAAATTTTTTGCATGCTAAGAATGAATTGCAGCTAAAAATCTTCCCCCCTCCTTTCTGCCCGAAAAATCCTGCCCACAGTTCTGTATGTAACGATTAGTCATTGTTTTTTAAAAAGCACAGTCACGCACTACACTCTAGTTCGAATCTTTAACCTCTTAACTTAAAGTTACTCAGATTGTCCGTTCGAAGAGTTTTCTCAATAATTTTTAAATTATAAAAAAATTCTTCAAAAAATTTCCTTTTTTAGGTTGATGGATGTGTTGAATTTGACACAGATGATGATTCAAGTTATCATGACTGTTCTGAAGGCGAAGATAACGAGAACCGTTTAAAACGTATAATGGAAGAAGATGAATGTTATGGAGAAGATGGGGCTTTAATTGATGAAGGTTTAGATTCGAATAATTGTATTGAGGAGAAGAAAGAAGAAGACAAAGTGGAAGGGGGGAAAGGGAAAGTAACGGTTGAAGAGGAAGAAGAAATTGAGGATTCTTCAACAATGACAAGTGAAGTAATGACTGAAATTGAAAATGAAGATAAAGAGCAACAGAAGACTTTGACTTGAATAAATTGAGACAAAAAATTTTGTGGAGGGAAGAGAGGGGTAATGAAGAATTTTAAAGACAAATGTGCCTATATACAAGTTTATTTCTATTTAAAAAATATAAAAAATTTATTTTTATTTGTTATAGCCTTTAAATATGCGCCTTTAAAAAGATAGCGTTCAGTAATTTTATGCATTTTTAAGTTTAATTTTTTTGACTTCCAGAAATAGGTTAATAAAACGGGTCAAAACAACACTTCCAAGTTCGAAAAATGAAGTGGTTTCTAATTTGATTTTTGGAGGGTTAAGTTTGTTAGATTGTTCCGGTCCTTGGTTCAATATTTTTGCGACTAAATTTTTAAAAATCACTGAACGCTTCCACAGTATTATTGTTATATCTAGGGTTGCCAAAATGGACCGACTCGGACCGAAAGATCGAGTCATGCCTCGATGATTGGCCCGAAAAAGTCTCGTACCGGCCCGACTCGATAAATTTGGGCCCGAAAAAGACTCGTAACGGCCCGACTCGATAAAGTTAGGCCCGAAAGTGACTCGTACAGGCCCGACTCGATAAAAACAGGCCCGAAAAAAATTGTCTCGGAAAAAGTCGGCCCGACTCGAACGAGACTCGATAATATTTTTACCAGATTTGTGGACAAAAATGGATGAAATCTGGCTCCTTGGCCTTCCAAAATTCGAAAAATTTTCGCCTGCGGCGCTGAAAAAGGAAGAAGTTTGGTCCTTAGCCTTCCGAATATCTCAAAATTTTTGCCTGCGGCGCTGAAATGAAGGATTTTTAGCTCCATACTTTGCTTCACATCTCGAACTTACTGGCTTTAATTGACAAGCTGGATTACTGGGAGTTATGGTATATATTCCGCGGGATCCCTTCATAATTTGAACTTTTGTAACTCAATCGGTTTTGAGAGTCCACAATTTTCCGCAGTCCGATTTTTAACTTTAAAATACGCAGTCGCAATCTTCGGTCCACAAGTATTCCATTTATAGCGCCGCAGGCGAAAATGGTCGAAAAAAAACTTTTTCGACCATTCTTCTACTAATTTTTCCCACTTTCCCCTATTTCGGGGGGGGGGGGGGCTCTAGCAGCCCCACTGGACACGCCCTTGGATATCCCTTCAAACGCCCCTCCCCGATATCCCTTCAAATCTCCTCATTCCTTCTAAATCCCATTACAATATATCACCTTAATCATCTGATATACGATCCTGAACCCCTTAATCATCTGATCTCCTTTAATAAAACCAAATCTAGCAATATCTCACCCCAATCCTCCGATAATTTAAATCACCTTAATCCCTCAAATCCACTGATATCCATTTCAATTCCCTTCAGCCCTTCCTTTACCCTCCTGATCCATCGATATACCTTTTAATTCACAGATATCCCTCCAAATCCACTAATTATTTTTAAATAAATCTTTTAAAAAAAGACTCGAAAATGTCTCGGTGCCCGACTCGATAAAGTCAGGCCCGAAAGTGACTCGTACCGGCCCGACTCGATAAAAACAGGCCCGAAAAAGACTCGTATCGGCCCGACTCGATAAAGTCAGGCCCGAAAAAGACTCGTACCGGCCCGACTCGATAAAAACAGGCCCGAAAAAAAATGCCTCGACCGTCGGCCCGACTCGAAAACGGCAACCCTAGTTATATCCCAGCTTTAAGGCATTTACTTTAGACCTTGTTTTAAATGATTATTTCATTCCACATTATTTATTTGAAAAAATACTTAAATGCTTTTTAAAATTTTTTTGGGCCGAATTTTTTGCCGACAAAAACGTACCGAATTTTTATTTTATTAATTGCAGAATGGAAACAATTGAAATTAAGAAGCATTTAAAAGCAAATTATAGACACAATTTAAATTTAAAAAACAACAATAAAATACATTTAAGTGATAGTCTATCAAATAAAGAGAAAGATATGCAAAAAGGTCACCAGTGTTTTTATTTTATTTTTTGACTAGGCAAACTCATATAGCAACGAAATTGCAAATAAAGTATTTAAACGGACTTGTTCTTCAGGGTCTTTCATTAGCTGCATTAAACCTTTAAAAATTCAGATTAAAAAAAATTCAATTTTTAATCAAATTACCACTAAAAATAAGATCAGTAGACAATGTAGCTCTCAATTCTGGTGTTAATGCAGTTAACATAAATCCTTTTTAATTAAATTTTGTTAAAATAGATTTAATTAGGAAACTGTCGTTCACGTCACACCCCATTTATTCGCAAGACTACTTATTTGACTACGGACTGAATTCGATTGCCACCCCCATTTAATTGCAAGCTAAAAAATGGCACAAGTTACCCTATTGAAGTTCGAACGAGCTTTGCTCGGTCCTAAGTTCTGCATGCACAACATCGGCTGTTCCAATTGCGAATAAAACGGATAGACTAGACAAATTCTTTAAATCAAAAAAAAATTTTTACCCATAAGTAAAGCAGCATTTGAACGTATATGAAAAGATGCACTTCTAAAGAAATTATTGCAATCCAAAGCATAATTATTAAGTCGATCAGGAAATGAAATTGACTTTAAAAAATAATTAATTAAAAAAATTTCCTCTTAAAAATAACCAAAATAAGTCCAAATTGTCTAAGAAAATCAGAATAATTTGTTGGTAACCTTTCATTAATTAATTCATTTTCTACCAAAGTTGTGGCATGGTCAGAATTGAGTAGAGGAATACATGTTGAAAGAACTTTGGCACAACTCTGTTGAGAAAAAAAAATTTTTTTGAAAATAATTATGGATTAGTTTTCTTATGGAACCGATATAAACTGAGCCGTTCCCTATAATGACATCATTAAAAAAAATGCCGAATCGGGTTTTCAAAAAAAATTTTTTTCAGATAAGTTATCGGCTCTAAAAAAAGTCCCCCTACCTTACTTCTTAAAATTTTTTTTATAATTTTTTGCGCTTACCAATTTAACATTTTCTTCCTTGTCATTTAAATGTAACAAAATACTAATTATATTGCTATGTAAACTTTCTTTAAATATATCATAATTTCCAACAGAAGAGCCTAAACCAGCAAAAAGAGAAAAAGCGCTAGATCTAAGCAATTCATTTTCCTTTAAAAAAAATTTTTTTTTTTTTGAATTTTTTTCCTTTGAAATTTAAAAGAAAACCTTTTCAAAACACGGCCGAATTTTTAATAATAATTGAGGTAATACATTTAAAATTAATTTTGGTTGAGATATACCAACTAAAGAGTCTAATGAAGCTATTGATTCTGTTGCTAATTGGTCTTGTCTGTAAAATTTAAAAATTAAAAAAAATTTCTCGAGGAGGCAAGGATAGGTCGTCGAAAAGGAGAAAAAATTCTCGAAAATTTTTATAAGAGGGAAAACAAAAACTGTCATTGGAAAGATAAAGAAAATTTTTCAAATTTTCGTAAAAATTTTTTTGAAAAGAAAAAATGACCTCATTCCTTCCCATTTAAAAAATAAAAAAAAACCTGTCCCAATAATCATCTAAACCAGCTAAAGCAGCTTCCACTGAACGTGAAGAAAAACATAAAATTAATTCATCTGCATCAGGCCCTTTTAAATGACTAATTTGTCCAATTCCGTGTAATGCCATTTTTCGAACAGTCAAAAGTTGATCTTTTAAAGCTCCTTCCAACGTTCCAAAAACATCGCAAAACAAAGAAGAATCAAATTCGCCATTTTTGTGAGGACAACTTTAAACAAAAAAATTTTTAAGAAGAAAAGTACTGACGTATACGTCCCCCTCTTTTTTTCCTCCACAAAATTCTCCTATTCTTCAATTTCACTTTATTATTCCCCAATAAAAAATTAACAAAAAAAGGAATTTTTTTCTTCACACCATTTTCTTGCTGTATAGTGCCTAGTTTCCGTTTACCAAAAATGTCTGACCATTATGTACATTCTAAGAAAAAAATATGGGAATATGAGGAGGAAAAAGGAGTCCGTAAATGAACCGAAAAAATTTAAATTAAAAAAAAAACCTTGTAATTAAAGAAGATAGAATAGATACAGCAACAATTCTTTCAGCATCACAAACATTTTTTAAAACATTTTCTCCACCTCGTAAACATTCACATTCTAATCTCATCAAATCACCAATAAATTGTGGACGGAAATTGAAAAGGGCACAACAAAAACTTGATAACTAGAAAAAAAAGAGTATTTTTAATTTAAAAAAACTTTAAGAAAAAAATTTTTTTAATTTTTTAAAGTGCAAAAATATTTTTAAAATAAAAAAGAATGATAAAAACAGGACAAGGAAAATGATGGACAAAGGCAGGATTCGAACTCACATTGAAAAAAACACAAGACTAAACCACTACCCATTACACCACAACAATTACACACTTAATTTCCTTAAAATTATTTATATGCCATAAGATAAAATCCATTTAAAATACCCCCAAGTTCCCAAGGTAACTTCGGTTGTCGCCCCCCTTTTTTTATTTTCTATTTTTTTCAGTTCCTATGGAAATTTCTATGGATTTTTATATACATTCGAAAGAGCTCTTCGTGCTGAGTCGAGCGGTACTAAATTCATCAAAATCCGACTTAAATAAACATAGTTATGAGCATTTGTTTTAATCCCTTTCAACATCAAAAAAAGCATGTCCACAGAGGATTTAGCCTCATAATTTTGTTCAAAATCACCAAATCTAACCGATCTTAGTATCAATCTACCCAGCTCGGATAGCTCTTTCGAATGATATATAATAAATTATATGTCAAGCAAAAAAGCTCAAAATGGTCAGGGGAACATAAAAAAGAGGGGGGGCGACAACCAAAGAATTACCGTTCCCAACTAATAACCAACCAGTCTCTAAAAACTCCCTTACCAAATAATTTTCTCAAAAAATTCTAAAAAATTTACCGCATTAATATAATGTTGAGAACTAACAATATTAGACCAAACACGCTCAGAATTCATTTTTTCAATAACATTTTCAGCATTTATTCTAACAAGGAATGTTCTTATAGCTTCAGAAACCAATTTTGCTGGAGTTTCTACACTTCGAGTTAATTCTGATGTTACTATTGGAATTATTGGTTTGGTTTTTACTTCTAAAAAATTTATCAAAAAATTTTTAAGAAAAATTATTAAAAAATGATTTAAAGTCACAAAAGATTTTTCCCTAGACTCAAAAGACCCCCTAGCCTCTATAGTCAAGACTCTAATATCCCTCTTAATTTTCCCCCCAAACCTTTCTTTCCTCCAACGCCGGATTGTGAACTTGAAGTAGTTCCAGACAAATCAACATTAGAATTCTTCTGGACATTAGAGTATTGAGTGTCAATTAAAGAAACCAACAAAATTAAAAGAGCAGAAATTATTCTTGGAACACGTTTAATTAATTCTTCTTCTGGTTCTCCTTTCTTTAAAAAAAATTTATTTTTTAAATTAAAAATAAAATCAGAATTAAAAATCAGAATAAAATCAGAAATTTTCTAGAACAGTGTAAAACATTTTCTGATTTTATTAAATTCAGAAATGAAAGGAAATTTAAATGGGACGGTTTAGTCTCAAAAAATATTTTGATATATTCTGATTTTGAATTCTGATTTATTCTGGGTCTGAAAAAATTTTCTGATTTTAAAAATTCTGATTTTCTGAAATTCTGATTTCTTAAAATTCTGATTTCTCAGAATTCTGGTTTTCTAAAATTCTGATTTTTAAAAAAATTCTGGTTTTTAAAAAATTCTGATTTTTTTTCCAAAATTCTGATTTTTTAATTCTGATTTTTCCCAGAATTCTGATTTTTCAGAATTCTGATTTTCAAAAAAAAAATTCTGATTTCATTAAATAAAAATAAAATTCTGAAAAAACCTTAACAACTTCAGCAATAGCAGCAACTAACGCACAAGTATCATCAGAAACAATTTTAATTACACTTCCACCACCAATATTAATAATTTCAAAATGTGAAGAATTAAAAGGTGTTGTTATTAAATTAATTAATTTTCCACCTCCTTTCTCTTTTTCTTCAAAACTGTCCTCCTTATTTTCAACAATAACAATATTTTTTTCTTCTTGTTCAACAATTAAATCAGGAGTTTTACTGGAAGAAGAAGAAGAATTATCTATCCAAACACGTTCAAATAAAAAATCTATAATTGATGTAAAATGGGTTCTCGACATCATTTCCCAAACTTCAGAAAGTGTTCTTTAAAAAAATAAAAATTTTTTTAATTTTTTTTTGAACCAAGGGTGAGCACAAGAGGCACAATCGTGAAAAACGCAAAACGCAAGGCCAAAAATCAACGCAAAAGCGCAATGAGCTCACACCTGGTGGATACTTTTAACAAGCCCAGAATAGGGTACTTTTCCGTTCTGCCACACCCCCCTAAATTAATGTTCAAAATGTCACATAAAGGGTAAAAAAATGTGCTGAGTCCAACGGTACCATTCTTTTTTCCCGGAGATGCCTTTGGACCAAAATATTGTGCTCGAAATGGTCAAAAACCATAGGGGGAGTAAGCTCAATTTTGGGATAAAAAATTCAAATATGCAAATAATAACTCATTCGAAAAAGCTCATGGAGCTGAGTCGAAAGCCACCAAAATTACCGCGGTCTAACAAGTTTGGACCAAGTTAAGATACAAAAATGTGTGTGGTTCTTCAATTTTCAGGGACCTGTATCTCGGTCAAATCAAATCAGATTTCGTTAATTTTGGTGTCATTCGACTCAGCTCCATGAGCTCTTTCGAATGAGGTATTATTTGCATATTTGAATTTTTTATCCCAAAATTGAGCTTACTCCCCCCTATGGTTTTTGACCATTTCGAGCACAATATTTTGGTCCAAAGGCATCTCCGGGGAAAAAGAATGGTACCGTTGGACTCAGCACCTTTTTTTACCCTATATGTGACATTTTGAACATTAATTTAGGGGGGTGTGGCAGAACGGAAAAGTACCCAGAATAGTTATTTAGGTAGGCAGAAGGTAGAAATAGAAAAAATGGTACTTTGTTCATAACCCGCCCCCCACCCCTATTTGAGTCTCAGATTATTTTTCCTTCTTTGCTGTCAATCATTTATTTTCCTCCTTTTTTAATGCCAATCAATTTCTTCCCTCAAATATAAAAGGCAAGTTAAAACTTATGACATTTAAGGGTTACAGCCCAAAAGGGCGCATGGCAATAACGGCGCAAAGTCATAACTTGCTGGAATATTTTTAACCCTTATCATTTTTGTTATCAATCTCTTTAGCACGATGAGAGGAATCGTTTAATATTAATTTTGGTAAGGTTTGAGAATCTTAAAAGCAATTTATGGCTTTGCGCCGTTATGGACGCGCGCCCTTTTGAGCGTCTTATATTTGAGGGAAGAAAATGATTGGCATTAAAAAGGGAAGAAAATAAATGATTGACAGCAAAGAAGGAAAAATAATCTGAGACTCGAATAGGGGTGGGGGGCGGGATATGAACAAAGTACCGAAAAAATTTGAAATTCCCAATTCCCCAAAAAATATTTTTAAACCCCCTGAAAATATTTCAAAAATTTTTTTGAAATTCTTGTCCAAAAACATTTTAGAGAAAAATTCCCAAAAACCCACAGATTAATTTCAAAAATCAACTCAAAAAAAAATTTATAAAAAAAATAACAAACTGATTATATGGAAGTGTTTGCCTCAAAAGTACTTGAACAGCCAAATGTAAATGATGTCCAGAAAAAAGAACAAATCCATTAAGTAATTCTGTGTATGTTTGGATTTTTTCTTGTCGAGTTCTAGCCAAATGATCGAGCATATTTATTAGCAAAACTTCTGCCTGAAAAAAAAACTTTTTTTTTAGTCCGCAAATTTTAAAAATTTTGTCCGCAAAAATTATTTGCGGACAAAAAACTAAAAATAAAAAAAAACCTCTTTTTGTAATAAATTCGCTCTATAAGAGAGAATATTTGTTAATAATTGAGCAGCAGCACTGCTAACATTTCCTTGCTTGTCAGATAACATTTTGAATAACATATGAATATAATTTTGGACTTGAGATTGTGGTAGGCGACTTTCAACTTCCTTTAATTGAGGAATGAAAAAAATTTTTTCAAAAAATAATAGGTAATTTTTGGCTCTCCCTACTTTTCTAACACCTTCCAAAATATTTAAATGGTTAATTATGAATGGTCAAGGTTACATAATGGTCAAACTAATAAACATAAATAACGATTTCCATTCAAATTGTTAAATAAATTTAATTCTTTACCATTATGTAACATAGACCATTTATCTTTTTTAATTTTGGGTAAGAGAAAGGAACCCAGGGAAAATAAAATTGGGAAGAAGATACCCAAAAAAGTACCAAACAAAAAATAATAAATTTAAAAAAAACCTTGGAAATAGCCAAAATAGCTCCACTACATTTATTAGAATCTAAACGTCCTTCTTGTGTTCCACCAAAATATAATTCAATAAATTTGTCAATATTAAAAAGAGAAGAGTCAACCATTTCAACATCAGAAGGTGAATGTCCTCTATGTAATAAACTCAATTTAAAAGCAAACCAAATAGCTCTCAAAGATTGTAGACGAACAAAACTTAAAGAATCGCATAAACGAGGGCAAAAACGGGCAATAATCCAAGAAAGAGAAGAAAATTCTTTTGCTATTCCAAGTGTTATATCTGAAGCTTTTTCTGAATAAACTTGTAATACTAAAACAGTAAAATCGACAGCTCTAGCTCTTTCATGATCACGTTCACTACCATAATATTGATAAAATAACTTGAAAAAAATTTTATTTAATTATCGTAAATATTCTAATAGTAGCCCATCCCTAAAATAAGCCCATTAAAAAATAAACACCCAAGGCGTCTATTAGAATATTTACGTATATAATTAATATTCGTTAAAAGACTAACTTATTGTTAAAGGTACCACAAAGGTAAATATGTACTTATGGGTGTCAGTTCGGTTCTATAGGTCGGTTCCAAATATCCAAAGATTTCCCAAGAACCGACAAACCTCCTACAAATGCCTTTATTAAAATTGATTCATTCCCCATGTTTTAAATGGATTGATTTAATTTTTTAAATGGTTAACTCAAATATTTTTTCGAATATCAATGGGAAGACTTATTGTTAGAATAGAAGGACCCAAGTTAAAAAAATATCCCAAAAATATTTTTTACAAAAAATAAAAAAACCAAACCTTTAATAATTCCCCAACTGTAGGTCTAACACAAGGACGCATTTTAACCATATTTGCAATAGCATTTCTACATTGAATTATAGTTGCTTCCATAACTGTTGAACTATCATCTTCTCCTGTCTATAAAATAAAAAAATTTCTTTAATAATTTTTCAATAAAAATTTAAAAAAAAAAAATTAAAAAAAACAAAGGCCAAGAAGAAAAGAAAACAAAAGAAAAAAAGTTTCCCAAAAAATTAAAAAAAAAATACCAAGCCACATTTTGTGGCATCCTTTCCATCAGATTTTCCACCACCTTCTTTTTGCTGTTTAACAGAAGAACTGCTTTTTTGAACAGATCCTTTTGAAGAAGAAAATGGATAATAATAATAATATTTATTATTATCGTTATTAATATTTTGACTATTTTTGTAGAAAGTTTGTGAAAAAAGACATTGTTGGTTTAACTAAAAAATTTCTTAAATTATAAAAAAGAAAAGAAAAAATTAGAGCTGTCCAACACTTTTTAAAAAACCGAAAAAAAAGAAAAAAAATTTTAACTTCCACCACTGTAGTCAAAATAATACAATAAATGTTCTAATAGAAGCCCTGCACGTTTATTCATCAAGGGGTATCACCTACATCATAAATTCTAATAGGGCTCTATAGGGGCATATCCGTCTATTGTTCAATGGGTATCATTGAGTAGGCTTCTAATAGGGATTCTATTGGAGCCAGGCTTCTATGTGAACATTCATGTTAACTCAGAAAAACAGAAAAATTCTTTTCTTAATTTTATGTTAAACAGCTCTACCCAAAAAGAAAAAAACAAAAAAAAGTTTAGAAAGTCCAAACCAAACGAAAGAAAAGAAAATTTAAAAAGCAAAAAAACCCCTCCCAAAAAAATCCAAAAAAATATACCGCTTTTAATCCACCACGTTCTCTATTTATTGGAAATATATTTGGAATTAAAACATTAATTATATCAATAAATTCGTTTTCGCTAAGAGGAGGTTCCAATAATCTTTAATAAAAAATTCTATTAATTTAAAACTAAAAAATTTGATAAAAATACACAAGTGAAGCAGTTGCTTTACATGCACGAAGACGAATTAAAGTTGTTACTGTGTCAAAAGATTTTTCATCATTAACATATTCCTAATTAAGGGAAAAAATATTTTGAATAATCAAATTTTAAAAATAGAAAATTTAAAAACTGTCCGCAAAAAATTTGCGGATTTTCTGCAAAAATTTTTGCAGACTTATTGCCTTTTCCAATTTATTCCAGGTATTTTAACATTTTTGGCCCAAAGGAAAAAAGAAGCAAATAAAAACAAACGAAAGAAAAATCTGCAAAAATCCCCAAAAAGAAGTCCGCAAATTCCCAGAAAAATCTGCAAAAATCCCCAAAAAGAAGTCCGCAAATTCCCAGAAAAATCTGCAAAAATCCCCAAAAAGAAGTCCGCAAATTCCCAGAAAAATCTGCAAAAATCCCCAAAAAGAAGTCCGCAAATTCCCAGAAAAAAATTTAAATAAACAAATAAAAAAAACCTTTATATAACTCAAACATTCATAGCGCGACTCAAAACGATAATCACGCAATCTATTTGGATGGACAGACAAAGCGATTAAATTTAGAGTTTCCAAGTGTGCTTCACGAAGAGAAGATTCCTTTAAAATTTTGTAAAAAAATTTTTAAAAATTTAAAATAAACCTTAGAATTTGCAGTATATTGACGTAAAAATGGCAAAACTGTATTTTGAAGTCTTAAAATTAATCCTTCAGTTGGACAGTAAAAACAAACATAGCCAAAACTGAGAACTATTGTGGCTCTCAAATTTAAAATTTCTGCATCAACAGATCTTCCATAAGGTAAAGAATCCTATAAAAAAGAAAAAAAATCTGATTTTATGCTTTATTTGAACTAGAATCATGTAGAAAAATAATCTATAAGGTATGTACCAGAGACCAAAAGATGAGCCGTCCAATTCCCGAAAATTGGTTAAGTACCAGGATTCCAACCGATCCGATTTCTAGAAAATCGGGGCCGGGTATATGTTCTTTCTTCTCTTTTTCTTGAGACCGGGAAGCTCGCGGAAGATTTTTAGACCTGGAAGCCCCAGTTTTTTATACCGTCTAGATCCCTGGGATGTATGCGAAAAAAATAAAATACCAATTTAAAAACCGATAGCTAAAAGAACATTTTTGGTTACACAACCCAATAAAAAAAACCTTAATAAAAGACAAAAATCCAACAGAAGAACCACCACTTTGCTTTTTTCCTTCCTTCATATGTTCCCATTTTGAAACATTTTCTAATTCAGTTAATACCAAATCTGCATGATCCAAAACTGAAGCACAGTGTCCTGTAGCTATTGCACAACCAATTCTTTCAATAATTGAGGAGTGTTGGGTATGTCGAAATAAAAAATATAAATGTTCTTTAATAAATGTTGGATCTTCAATTCTTGCAAGTGTACAGCCTAAACAACGCATTAAAAAAGCTTTATCTTGCGAAGATTGAAAAGAATCTGAAGCTGAAGTAAAAAGTGTACTTAATTGTTTTGCTTGGGCAGAAGCTAAATTTTGTCGCCAAGACTGGAGAAATAAAAAAAATAAATCTAAAGTCAGTATTAAACAATTTTTTGAAGGGAACGAGTAGAAGAAATAATTTTCCAGTCAAAAGAAAAAAAATTTCCACAGCTGGGTTCGAACCTCCGACCTATTCCCTAAGAACTTAAAATTCTTCCACTACACTAAAAATGTCATGGATTACAGATACTCAAAATTCAAAACCGAAACAATTTTCCGATCCGAAATCATATACCCAATTTGAGAAATTTTGAAAATCATTTCAGACACCCACCCTCCTTTTTTCCTTACCAGTGCCATCTTTAGATACCCTACCAAGTAACAAAAAATAATTTAAATAAAAAAACCTGATCATCAACAGCATTTATTAAAGAACATAATAAATCTAATATAACAGCTTGCCACCTCTCAACCCTCGAAAATAAAATTTCTTTTCCAAAATAATCATTTTTATCTTCATTTGATGGATAATTTGATGAAAATTCTTTAGGAAAAATTCTTAATAATTTTCCTCAAAATTTAAAAAAAACCTTTTTGTAAACTTTCCAATAAATGTCCAATAATTTTTGGAAATGGGGAATCTTGCTCACAAAATTTATTATTTAACCAACAAAACAATTCTCCAAATAAATTGATTGATTCTTTTGCTCGTGCATTTAATTGGGCATTTTGGGGTGCTCCATTCATAAATACAATTAATCGACAAATTAATTGGAAAGGTCCAGGAAGTTTTGCTGAAATTAGGAAAAAATTTTAATGAAAAAATCCCCTCAAGTCCGCAAAAAAGTCCGCAAAATTTTTCTCTAAAAATTTAAAAATCTCTTACAATTAGCTTCAAAATCATAAATATCCAATTTATTACAAGATTGTTTTATTCTTCCACACAGAACACGTAAGCATTTAAATATATCTGTAATTACTAGTGAATATTGTTCAACACAAACATATTCAAAAAGTTTTGGCCAAAGAAGCTGAAAATTGGGAAAATTAAAAACTGAAAGAAATTTGTTTAAGAAAAAAGTTCGCAAAAGAAAATCCACAAAAAAAGTCCCTGGAAAAATGCACAAAAAAAAGAAAATTCAAAAACTTTGAACCCTATAAATTTTCGAAATGGGGGTCAAAAGGAAAAAGCCGAAAATTGGCAATAGGTTATCGACCATGCTCTACACGATGGAGCAGAAAAAAAAACTAAAATTTTCACATATAGTTCAAAATGTTTCCTTGCTAGTCTTATATGATATTTAAAAATTAAAAATAATAACGGAAAGAAATTTAAAAGTCCGCAAAAGAACCCCGCGTAAAATTCCGCAAAGAAGGAAAGTCTACAAAAATCCCCCGTCTTATATCATATTAAAAAAATTTTAATTTTCCAAACCTCACAAGCAACTTTGCTAGTATTCGAAATTGTATATAATGCTTGAGCACATTGTGCACTCAATTGAGTAATTAGACTTGCATCACTAGACGCTTGTAATAATTGTTGTTGTTGGACTGAAGAGCGTTGCTTTACCTTTAAAAAATAAAAAAATATTTTCTTTTAAAAATTTTAAAAAAATTTAAGCAATTTTTTGAATTAAACAAAATAAGGTAATTGATCAAGCATTTAATTTTAAATTAAAAAATTATTCCAGAGAACTATACTTGATCAAGTACTTGCCCAAAATATTTGTCCGATCCATAAAATTAAAATAATAAAAAAGAGCATTTTATTATTATTAACATTCAAATCGCTGCGATTGACCACCAAATTTGCAAGTAAAAATTGTATGACATGTTCTCCCCCCTCGTCTGCTTGAACATATTCATTATCTGATAAAGCTATACATAATTGACATAAATTCATTTTTACACGAATTGATAATTGTTCATCATTTAAAAATGGTTTCATTCCCATTGTTATTAATGAACGATTTTCTTTCATTTGATCATCTAAAAATAAAAATAATAAAAAATTAATAAAAAATAGGGGGGATTTCCTCAAAGTTGTGGTAGAATCGGAGACATTTTTAAATCCCCCCCCCGTCCCTAGATCCCGTGGCGCTGCTTCCATAAAAGATTCTCCCAGAGGCCTTCCACTCGACGGGGAACAATCTTGTACTACCTCCTTGTACAACTCTAGTAGAATGAGAAGAGAAAAAATAAAAATACGGATTCTTAAAAATAAAGATTTACTATCAAGGGAAAATATTCGAAACAAGAGGAAAATTCGAAAAAATAGGGAAAATTCAGAAAAAGAGTCGGAAGAAAGCCTCAACCTCTTAAAAAATTTAAACAAAAATAAAATATTAACCAGCAGAATTGAGAAGATGTCTAAATAAATTTATAGCACCCAGTTTAACAATCTAAAAAATTATAAACAATTTGAAAATTAAATAAAAATCCGAAACCTCGCTTTGACTTTGCATTTTATGCAACAAAAAATAAATCTAGAAAAAAAATTAATCAAAATTATTTTTTTTAAATAATGAAAATAAAACCTCTTTATCAGCAGTCCTACAACTAGAAACTTGAAAACAACGAAAAACTTCATTTCGAAGTTTTATTTGTAATAAATTAGGCAAAGAGGGATCATCAACAACTTTAAAAAAATTTAATAAAAATTTTAAAAATCAGAAATATTAAAAAAAGAACTTTGATCAGCAGGAAGGCAAACATGTGGAAAAAGCATTTCAAACAAGTCATTAATGTAGTGTTCAATTGGAATGCTTTCTTCAATACAGGAAGCTTGCAGGAAATTAGAAATACCCTAAAAATTGGAAGAAATTTCCCCTTCAAATTAAAAATAAAACCATTGTAATAGCTAACTGCTCTTCAGGATTTAAAGCCTTTTTGTGTAATGAACGAAATATTGTGTCCAAACGTTTCAAATCTTTTAATATTCGTTCACGATCAATCATTAAACAAAGCTTTCCTATACATTCGGCAGCATCAGCACGACACTAAAAAAGTAAAAAATTTTATAATAAAAGGAAATAATTGGTTTAACAATAAGTTTCTTATAGTGTTGTTGGCGACCGGTTATTAACCGGTACCCCCGGTTTTCGGTTAATCTGAATTTTAGAAACCCGTTTTCGGTTTTGAGTTTTAGGCAAATACCGGTTTATTTTTGGGGGAATTTTAAATAAAATCACTTATTTTGACAAATTTCCGGTTTTCGGTTTTTAAAATTTTTTGAAAACGGTTAATTTTTGGCAAAAAATTTCAAAAACCCCGGTTTTAAAACCGGTCGCCAACAACCCTAGTTTCTTATTAAAAATTAGGAATTATTAAAGGAAAAGATGTGTTAGCCCCCCCCCCTCCCAAAATCGACACCCTAGCTACGCCCTTGCCCACTATACTTACAAGAAAAGGTTGCGAGGTGTCCGACCTAAAAACGGTCAAGACCGGGCTAACATTAACCTCCCACCATATTTTAGATTAAATATCCTAGTCAGATAAACAAACTTTATGGTCCTTTGAAGAAGTTGTCCAATTAATTATAACATCATAAGCCGTTTCAAACTGGTCAGCATAACTTTCACTAATTTCGCTTTCATCGACTGCCACACACTCGTCAGATTTAATTTCCATTTCATTATTTTGTCGTTTTTGTGTCCAAATAAATTCTTTCACTGAAAATAGTTAAAAAATTTTTTGTGAAAAACGCCCAAAACTAAAAATCAAATTTAATAAACAAAAAAATTTAAATTAGAAACCAGATTCCGCAAAAGAACAGAGAGCCTGACAAAAAGCACTTTTGATTTGGTCATTTTTTAAGTGAGGTAAAAGAGCATCTGTCCGTGCGAGAATGCTTTAAAATAAAATTTAAAAAATTATTTTAATTGGAAAAAAATATACTCGTGTAAAAACGGCAAAAAACCATCAGCTAAAAAAATAAAAAATAATCAAAAATTCCAAAAATTAGAAGAAAACAAACGATTTTTTTGTGCAATTTCTGATAATGTCAAAATAATAAATCTGTGAGGAGGTGAAGTTGAACCAGGTTGGAATTTGTGTAAAAGAGAGTCAACGACCTTTAAAAAAGTTGTAATTGATAAAATAAATTTCAAAAAATTATTTACGTGATTAACAAATTTGTCAGATTTTCCAACCAAAGAAACAAAAACGTCTTTTGCTGCATGTGCAAGTCCATTTTCAACATCCTAAAAATTTTTTTTAAAAAAACCCTTAACAAACACAAGCCATAAACCCCTCAAAAAACATAGAAATCGGTTTGGATATGAAGACAGACCTTGATTTATCTCGACCCAGAATAAAAATCAAGTCATCTTAGTGTTCCTTAATTGGTTTTTCATCGACTCAAGGTCAAGAATCTGAGCAAGATCCTCAACCGAAGTTTTTCTAAAAGTTACAATCACCAAAAAACATACCTTAGCCATACTCATTTCCTGTGTGCTAAGATTAGCAATTAATAAAATTTGTTGTTCATCACAAACATCAACAACGTCCACTTGATTAAAAACGTTTGTTAAACAACGGAAAGCAAAAGCTTTGTCTTTTTCATTCATCTAAATTGAATAAATCTAATCTTAAAAATACTAAAAAAAACCTTTTTTCCATTATCAAGCAAAAATGTATGTACAGCATTTATAAACATTTTAGGCTTTTTAACGCCTAGAGAAACGAGCGAACGTAAAGCAGCATCAGACAAAGTAGTGTTGGAATTGTTGGTTTCGGCAAAGTCAAAAAGGGCATAAATAAAGTCTGAAAAAAATCATTTTCTTGCGTTTTTCATTCAAAATTGCTTAATTACCTTGCATATTTTTTGCCATAAATAATTATCTAATAATTGAAATCAATTTAAAATTATAATATAATATCTAAAAATAAAAAATAATCTTTTTAAATCTTTTAAAGATCAAAAAAATGATTAAAAAAATAAAACAAGAAAATTTTAGATAAAATGTAAATTTGACATTTTGAAATTTAATATGCAGAAAAAATTAAAATGAAAAATTTCAAAATGTCGAAAATTAAAAATGGTCAGAATTTCCCCGAAGGAGTTCAATCTTCTCTCCTCCAAGGTGCCTATTCAAATAAAATGAGTTCAAATAACAAGAGATTAATAATTATCAGATATTTTTAACTGGAATAATATCACCTTCAGTCTTGTAAAAACGAATAAATACACAAAAAAAACAAAGATTTAACTTTAAATTTCTAAAATAAAACAAAAATAATTAAAAAATATTCATCATTTTGTCCTAACACAATAAACTAATTCCTCTTTCACATGATATAGTTTATCATCCGTTTTGTCTTTGACAAAAATATGATAGCCACGTAAAGCGTCTCCTTGTATTTGAGCGTAAAAAGGGTTTGGCAGCTTTAAAAATGAGAAAATTTTATTTCAGACTCAAACGTCCCTTTTTCGGTTTTCGGGACATTTGAGTCTTGCCTAGAAAAATAAATTTTTCGGAGCAGTTCAACTGAGTCCCGAGACCGCGAAAAATTAGGGTTTTTTCGGAAAATCAACATTTTTGGCCACAATTTCCGAAATTCTTGATCAAAAATTCTGAAATTTTTGGAGAACGTAGATAAAGGCATGAGAGTTATTATTGCAAAATTTTATCTTTTTTGATAATCAATTCACTGTTTTATAAGCTCGCGCCCTAATGGCCCCGCGCCCTAATGGCCCAGTCCCCTATCCAATGGTACCAAGAGTAACAAAAAGTAGTCATCCCTTCATAAGTATAGGGTCCGGGACTCAGTTGAGTCGGCACGAGGTTACCGTAAATTTTTATATCCACCTTAAAAAATTTTTCTTCATCAGTTCCGTCAGGAATGAAGGAAATACATCTTGTTTCTCTCCATATTTTAAAGAGTGGAGCAATTTCCGGCAGAAAATGTCTGGATCCTATATGATCTACAAAATTGTCATTGCTAAGCAAATGTGTATTTGGACCGAGATAGAGGGCACTATAAATAAAATTTCAAAAAAATTATAGCAAGTTTGGGCATATTCTAAAGCTCCAAAATATACACACTAGAAGGTCCACACTCTTTGGGGATGGAAAATACCCCGCCCGTATCTTATAATTTGGTATATCTTATAGAGGGGAGGTAACACGTTAAGCACCCCCTCACCTTACCCAGTGGCCTTAAATTTAGGTGTCTCATAGTAGGATTCCACTATATGGAGGTCAGACTATATACCAGAGGTTGCTGCTTCGCCCTTCACCGATTTTCGTTCTTTTTTGATTTTTTAAAATATGTCTCGGCACACTCCTGTGAATTTTGTTCTCAGACTCTAATTGCCCCCTTTCAGTTAAAAAAAAAATTTTAAAATTCCTCACCTATTTATTGCAAACAAGTCATCTTGAGTTGAATATTTTATATTAATTTCTGATTTGCTTAAAAAATAAAAATTAATTAGGGCTGAAATGAGTCAATCCCCCTCTCTTTCTCTTACCTTTTAAATTCTTTTTCAATTTCAAATAATTTAACATTTGGTAATTTTTGTAATTTATTTTGATAAAAATAGGTAAATGGAGTTTTTGAAATTATTAAAATTGGAAAAAATTTTTTTTCCATCATTTCAACAATTATTTTATTAAAATAAGGGAAACGTTCACGTCTATAAACGCCTCTTGCCAAATTTAATCCATCAACAATTAAAGGTTTGGAATTTTTTAAAGATTTTGTTTGTATTATTAAATTGTCAAGGGTTTTATAGAATCTTTGGTTTGCTGAAAAAAAGAAAGAATTTTCAGAATTATTATCAGAATTTTTAAAAAAACGTCTTAGTTCCCCATTTTCTTTAAAAAAAATTTTGCGGACAATTTTTTGCGAACAGTTTTTGCGGACAATTTTTTGCGAACAGTTTTTGCGGACAATTCTTGCGGACATTTTTTGCGGATATTTTTTGCGGACATATTTTTTGCAGGCAGTTTTTTCCGTCTTTTATTTCTTACAATTAGTCTACATTTTTTACTGATTATTTACGATTCTCCCACGTCTTAAAAAACAATTAAGTAATCAAAATTTTTGTCCGCAAAAAAATGTCCGCAAAATGTTCTCCCCCATCTGTCCTTAATTTTTCAGCTTTCCCTTTTTCGTTGTAATATTTTTAATACACCCCCCCCCCATTTTATATTAAAAAAAACCCTTTGCCTGTATTTTCTCCAGAAATTCGATTTGACAATCCATCCTGCAAATGTTCTCTAAATGCGTCTCTAAGTTTTAAAAATTGTTCATTATCCAACGGCTTTTGTTCAGGTAATTTTTCTTTACAAATTGAACATTCTAATGTTTCTTTAGAAATTGTTGCTTCCTCAACCTTCCATTCTTTGTAATAACTAGAAAATTTTAAAATTAGGCTCTAATGTCCAGACTTAAGTGTCCACTTTAAATATAAGACATTTGAGTCCCGATTTTCCAACAAATTTCGATTTCCCAGAATTGTTCTGATTTTCAGAATAATTCTGATTTTCAGAATTATTCTGATTTTCAGAATTGTTCTGATTTTTTCAGAATTGTTCTGATTTTTTCAGAATTATTCTGATTTTCTCAGAATTATTCTGATTTTTTCAGAATTGTTCTGATTTTTTCAGAATTATTCTGATTTTCTCAGAATTATTCTGATTTTTTCAGAATTGTTCTGATTTTTTCAGAATTATTCTGATTTTCTCAGAATTATTCTGATTTTTTCAGAATTGTTCTGATTTTTTTCAGAATAATTCTGATTTTTTTCAGAATTGTTCTGATTTTTTTCAGAATTATTCTGATTTTTTTCAGAATTGTTCTGATTTTTTTTCAGAATTCTGATTCTATCAGAATTGTTCTGATTTTTCCGTTTTACAAAAATCGTTTAAAAAATTTTTTCCCAAACCTCATAGCAGTCTGAATACATTTAAATTCCTCACTATTAATTGTTTTTCCAATAGAAACAATTTGATCCATAAATAATTCTAATAATTCTTTACATTGTTTTGTGTTGTTAAATTCTTCCAAAAAATTTAAAAATGAATTCCACAAAATTGGATGTTGATAAAATTTTTGTTTTGGTTGGATAATTGAACATAATGAACTGAAAAACAAAGAAAAATTTAATAATTAAACAACCAAAGAATTATCCGCAAATTTTGTCCGCAAATTTTATATTTTATTTTTTAGATCGTGTAAATCTATATTCCCAAAGAAATTTTGTTTTTCTTTAAAAGTACAAAAAATTGAGATTTTCTACTCGACAACCTAAAAAACCATTTAAGTATGGTAAATGAAATTTAAAAAATCGGATCTCAAACACATACCAAAAAATCCGCAACAGAGGTGGGTCGGAACAGTCAGAGGTGTCGGAAATCGGAAATGGCTCAAAAGTCGGAACTTGGAAATCAAAATTTTTTTCGGAAATCGGATGGAAAAAAACGCCGGAAATCGGAATTTCGACCCACCTCTGGTCCGCAAATATAAAATATCCGCAGATCCAAAAATTCCCCACCTTGGAATACCCCCAAAACTCATTGTCAGAAAAATTAACAAAAAACAAACCTCAAAATATCGAATTCCCTCCTTTCAATTAAAATACTAGCCAAAATAGCAAAACATTCAACTTTATCAGGGATGTGTTCCAAAATATTTATTTTACTCCAATCTCCTTTACTCGCATCCAATAAAAGTTGAATTGTTAATCTTATTGAATTTTCACAATTTGGCAATTCTTTTTGTATTTTATTTAGAATTAAATTTAATTTGTTTGAATCTATTGAAGTAATTGCTGTTTTTGTTGTATGACACTTTAAAAATTTTTTTTTAATTTGTCAAAAATTGTGGGGGCACAAAACTTGCGGATAAATACAAAAAACAAAAATAATAAAATTTTAGAATTATCCGCAAGTTTAAAAATTTGTCCGCAAATCTAAAAATTATCCGCAAATTTAAAATCTGTCCGCAAGTTTAAAAATTGTGCGCAAATCTGAAGATTTTTCCGTAAATCTTAAAATTTGTCCGCAAGTCTGAAATTTTTACGCAAATCCTAAAAGTTATCCGCAAATCCTAAAAGTTATCCGCAAATCCTAAAAGTTATCCGCAAATCCTGAAAGTTTGTCCGCAAATTGGTCAAAATGTTAGGAAGTATTAAACAATTCCCAACTTTAATCAAAATACAACCCCCCTCCACCCACAAACATATATTCTAATTAAAAACCCCACAAACCATTGCAACAATTTTTGCAGCTAAAATTAAAGTTCTACTATTAATAACAAAATTAGTTGAGAAAATTGAATAACAATAATTTAGTGCTTCCAAAGGTAAATTATTTGAAAATAATTCTTCCAATAAACGAATAAAATGTTGATTTATTTTGTCATTTTTTATTTTTTCAAAATTTAGTTTTTGTGGAGTTTTTGGTGTTGTTGTTGGGGATGGTACTTGAATAGCATCAGTTTGATTGTTTGCCTTGAAAAAAAATTTTTTCTACCCAAAAAATTAAAATAAAATATAAAAATTAGTAGTTATGAACAGAAAGGATATGGACAGATTCTTTGAAATTTGTCCGCAACTTTCGAAATTTGTCCGGTTATCCAAAACTCACGCAAATCTAGAACTTGTCCGCAAATCTAAAAATTTGTCCGCAAGCTGGACACAATGCTAAGGAATTATAGAAATCTTCAAATTTTGTTTTACCGGACTGAATTAACCCTAAAAACACAACAGAAAAAATGTTTTTCACAAAAAAACATTTTTTTGCCATTTTTTGATGTCTTTATCAACCCTCAAAAATACAGCAAAATCTCACTAATAGCAAGATTCCCCTAAATCTCAAGACTCAAAAATTTTAATTGAAAAAATTTACCCCCCCCCCCTTCCCACCTCCTCAAGAAAAAATTATTTATAATAAACACTAACCACTTGTAACATTAGCATCTGATTTTCCATCTTGTTTAGGTTCAACAGTCTTCTTGTATTTTTCAACACTCCGTTTGCGAATAAAATGCGACCTTTAAAATATAAAAATAAATTATTTTAAATTTATTAAAAAAACATACACCCAGGTAGATTGACAAACATCTGAAAATTTTTCAAATTCTCGATGACACCTATTTTTGTTTTCGTTGTTCTTTTCTAGACAATCAAAATATAAATCTCTAAAATAAAAAAAAAATTTTTTAAATTTTACTATGCACTCTTAAATAGGGTCTAACAGGGAGTTTGGTAGAGTGCGGAGAAATTTGCATTTACTAGATCTCGTAACGGAATTTTTTTTCAAAAGGTTGACCGGGATGGGAAAAATCGGACCTCGAATCCATAGTAAAACCTCAAATAAAAATTTCAGTTTATGAATATTTAGAAAATTTGTCCGCAAGTTTAAAGTCTGCAAATCTAAAAATATCCTCACTGGGGTAAGAACACGAGATTCCGAGACGAGATTGCGTAGAACCCTAAACACACCCAGATCAGTGCCTCACATTAAGTTTTGGGGAAATTGTGCCCAACCAAAAAAATAAAAAAATAAAATTTCTTAATTAAAAAAACCTGTAATGATAACAATCCTTTCGATTAATCAATAAACCTTTATTTGTTTCAGACATAAACCAATAAATATAGAACAAAAAATTGCACTTTAAAAATTCTTGTAATTAAATAAAATTTAGAAAAAAAATATTATATAAATTATCTAGGGATTTAACCACAAAAATTATTAAAAATAAATAAAAAATAAATAAAAATTTATTAAAAATAGGGTCCACTCCAGAAGGCCAAATCAGACGATAATACCCACAAATCATTAATACCCACAAATTCGTTTTAATATCCATATATCCTTCTTTACACTCTAAAAATTTGTATTTGACCTTTTGGGTCAAATACAGGACCCCTCCTGAGTCCTTCTTGGTCTTGACCTTCTGGGTTTTGACCCTCTGGGTTTTGACCCTCTGGGTTGATCCCAAAAATATTTTAAAAAATTAAATAAACCAAATTTTATAAAAAATTTAAACTTGTTTTTAAAAAATTCCTTCCTTTCTTGTCCTTTCTCAGTCAAAACAACAAGTTCAATTTAAATTAGCCATTCTTCCCTCTGCAAAATTATTATCGTCAATTTTTCTTCTTTTTGTTCCTTGCAAATCCTTTAAAAAATTATTTAAGATAAAAAATTAAAAAAAAAACCGATCCAAATTCATAATAATGTGGGGCTATTTGTTCAAGCCATTTTGGGTCAATTTCACTCAAATCTCTGAAATGATAAATTTTTTAAATTAAAAAAAAATTAAAAAACTTTATTGAACTTTGCATTACATCAGTAAATAGGACCCTAAAAAATTTTGAGAAAAAAATTTTTTTATCAAATTATCAAGTCTTATAAAAATCTTTTTTAATTTAGCCATTCTCCCCCATCTATTCTGGAAGACCATTTGCTTGTATATTTAACAGGAATTATTTTTTCTCTTGTTCCTATACTTTGTACACAAGTACAAGTATTTTTTGGTTTAAAACACTGGCCTTATTAACGGTTACAAGATCCATAAGGAATTTAATTAATCACTATTCCTTTCAAAAACTTATTTTCTTAAGCTTATCTTCCCTAATTTTATTGTCAATTTTGCACAGTTTATAAAAAAATTTCAAAATAGCCAAAAAAATTTGCGGATTGACATTTGCAGACCTCACAAATTGCGGACAAGAGGGAAAATTGTTAAAGGAAAGGAAATTTTCAAAAGAAATATTTTAATGCCCTTACCATTTAGGATATTCTTTTCTATACATCAACACAGATCCTTTATATATTTTAAATGCATGTTCACCTTTTAGTGTTACATATAAACCTCTATGATCGTAATAAGCAACCTAATTAAATTTTCAAGACTTAAATTTTAAAAAAATTTAAGTCTAAACCTGTGAGAAGAATCCACTCAAAAGTGCTCGACGGATTTTTGCTGTTTCTCCTTAAAAATAATAAAAAATTTTTCAAAATGTCAAGGACAAAATATCAGATCTCAAAATTTCAGCATTTTAAAATGCGCAAAATTCAAAAATAAAAATCTCGAAGCGAGTCATAATTAGAGATCAGAATTTAAAAAAACCGGGTCCAAGAACCGGGAAACGGGTTCTGAAGGTTAACCGGGAGGGACCCGGACCGGGAAAACTGGGAATTCGCGTTCCCGTTTTCATCCCGGTTGCTTCAAAAAAAGAGGGAAAAGTGATCCGGACCCGTTCCAATTCTAGTGATAATGACAAAACATTGAAATACCAAAACCCTTCCAAACAGCAACGTTTTGGCATTATAAAATCTTATAAAAAAATCTTACCTATCGTCCCTTTACAAGAATTTATTTTTAAATTAGCATTCTTTAAAAATCCAATAAATTGTTGTCTAATAAATTCAGCTCTACATAAAGCCTTGTAATTTAAAAAATTTTGTTGACACCAATTTTGGGAACGTCCATTCTTTAAATTAAAAAATTTTAAAGGAAAAAATTTTCAAAAAAACCTCAATAAACAACTCAAAAATATTTAGCAACGTCAAATGATCCCCTTCTTCAACAGAAAGTGAACGTTTATTTACTTCTGCCTTGTGTTTTGAACCTATTGGATGATTAAAAACGTCTCTAATTTGCATCATTGAAATCTTTAAAAAAATTTTTTTGTTAATTTTAAGTTAAAAAAGGTAACGTCTTATAATGCCCAAAAATCATCGAAATGCCAACCCCCAAAAGCCATTGAAATACCACCAAAATTAAAAAAAAACGACTAGGACTAGGAAAAACAGGCAAGCCTGGTATTTTGAATTCATTTCCTTTCCTTTTTTTCATGTTGTATGTTCTGGCATTTATTTTCCCTCTTATTCATTTTCCTCGTGTAGAAGGAAGAAAAGGGAGAGAAAATCAAAAAACCTGTTTTCTTAGCCCTAGAAACGACCTTAAAAGTTCGGTTTTCAATGACTTTTGAGTTTTATTTCGATGCATTTTGGCATTTCAAGACGCCCTTAAATAAAAATATTTACAATTGTAGCAATCTCTTTAGAACATTCAAATTCAGCTTTACAAAATTTTTCAAAAATAAAAAAAAATTTTTTTTAAACCTGATGAAATTAAAGCTTTTGCATGCATCGGAGATAAAGGTAATTCAGCCATTTGAAACCCTAAAGGATTTGTTAAAAGTCCATCATTATCAATTGCTTTTAAAGCGTTAAGCATTTGAAGGGACTGAACCATTACAGCAGAAGATGGGCGAGAAAGGTAATTAAATCTATAAAAATTAAGAAATATAAATGTTGAGAGGTTCAAAAAATTTATTTAAAATAATTAAAAGGAAAAGAAGACAAATTATTGCCAATTACGACCTAGATGTCCTTTCATAAAAGCACTCCTCGGAGCGGATTTTGTAGAATAAAGAAAATAACGTGGGAGGGAAAAAGGGGAGTCGAATCAGGCCAAAGAACATCCATCAGAACCAAAAGACTAAATTAGCCCCTCTGTAGAGCAGGTCCGAAAAGGAGTCTCAAATCAAAGAGCCGCAACAATCAACCTAATTCTCATAATAAAAAAAAAGAAAAAAACCTCAAAACATTCTGAACCCCCAAAGCTTTTAGCCTCAAAATAACCGAAGACAAATCTCCTCGTTGTATTTCTGGAATTGTTGAATTACTCAATTTTTTAAATTCAGATTCTGGGTAAAGACGATAACATTTTCCAGGTCTTAAACGTCCGGCACGTCCAGCTCTTTGTTCAGCTTTTTAAAAATTTTTTATTTTTAAATTAACAAAAAGAAAACCTGAAGATTTTGAACAGGGAATAACTACAAGAGACTCCATTCCTATTTTTGAATCTAAAAAATTTTTTTTTTAATTTAAAATTTCAGAGTCGTATTTTAATTACCCACAGATTCTGCATTCTGTGCCGAAGATTTTATGGAAAATTTGTTTTAATTTAATTTGGTCTGTCCAGGTTTTATAGTGCTCGCCAGGAATGTCTCGAGTTACCCAAAACCCAATAACCAGATTTTTTTTGACCAGAACTCGATTCGAGAGAACTCAAATTTTTTTTTATCAACCCTTGACACCCCCACGCTCACAGATTCTACAAAACTTGAAGATGTAGAATCTTTAGAAAATTAAAACAAAAATTACGCAGACTGCGGTCCACAGAATCTGTGGTAAATTAAAATAAGTCCCTTGAAGAAATTTACCAAAAACTCTAATTTTAACAAATCCACAATCAATAACTTAAAAAAATTAAAATTATAATTCTAAAAAATATTTACGAAAAAAACCATAAACAATTCCCGTTATTGTAACTGATGTTTCTGCAATATTTGTTGTAATAACTGCTTTTCTTGTTTGATATGGAGCTGATTCGAAAGCACGAAATTGTTCTTTTGGTGAAAGACCTAATTGTGTAAAATTTTGTTTTCAAAGAGAAAGGGATAGGAAAGAGACAGCAAACCTTAAAATAATCTTGGCACTTGAAAATAAAAGGGTAAAATTCCTAATGAATATACCTCAAACTAGATCCCCCGTTTCCCATTTAAAAAATGAATGTCTGTCTCAATAACTAACAATAAGACAAAGCCTTTCTATACGGGACGACTAGAATCACTAGAAAACTAGTTTTAAAAAGAAACTTTCAAATTCTGCAAGAAATGTTAAGGTTAATTATGGAATTCTTGCAAGGGAGTTCTCAAAGTAGAGAACTCTTCAAATTTAAACCTGCCCAACACCAAGTAAAGAATATATAAAAAAATGTCCAGACCTCCATAAAGTGGTAAAATCAACAATTTATCCAAATCTTTAGGTAAAGATTTAACACTTCCTTCCAACAATTTACATGCTTGTTCAACTTCATCTTGACCAGTTAGAAAGGCTAAAATATCACCAGAAGGTTCTTCTCTATGTAATCTTAGAATTGTATCAACTGTTGTTTGGACATAATCTGGGACTCCTCTAAAAATTAATTTTAAGGTTTAGATACCTGATCGGGCACGTGTTTTTCAGGCCCGATAACCTAGAAGACGGGTATTTTAATAGAATCCGGTTTTTCATGGTCCTAGCAGTTTTAGTCCAGAAAATACCGCCCCGGGTCAGCTTGAAAGAAAAGACCAGGATACTAGGCCCTTCAATGTGAAATGTCGAACTCTATTAATTTTTAAACAAAATTAAAAAAAACAAACACTTTAGTGTAGAATACATTAACAGGAAACATCCTTCCCTCTACAGAAATTATTGTAGCAGTATTTTTATCAGGATTTTTGTAATCTTCATTTAACTCGAAAAAGTCACGAAACAGCTAGAAATAAAAGAAAATTAATAAAAAAAATTTAAAACCTCTGCTTCAATAGTCGCCGAAGAAACAATAATTCGAAGATCATCTCTTATAGCAATTATTTTTCGAAGTAATCCAATAACTAAATCGGAGTTGACAGAACGTTCATGAGCCTCATCAATGATTACAACACTATATGCCTTAATAAATTAATTAGAAACAAATTTAAAAATCACATTTCACCAAATGGGATGAAATGTCATATTTTCTCTCTCTTAGGGAAACACCCAAAATATTTTTTTAAAAATTAACTAACCTCTAGCAATGGATCACTCATTAATTCTCTAAGCAAAAGACCATCCGTAACATACTTCAAAAAAATTTTTTTAATTTAAAAAAAATCCCAAAAAAAACCTTTATTTTTGTTTTATCAGAAATACATTCATCAAAACGAACAGCATAACCAACTTCAGAACCTAAAGAACACATCATTTCTTCTGCTACTCTATTAGCTAAAGTAACTGCTGCAACTCTTCTAGGCTGTGTTATACAAATTTTCTTTCCTTCTTGAGCCCATCCAAATTCTGCGAGATATTGGGGGAGTTGAGTGCTTTTGCCTGATCCTGTTTCTCCTATTAAAAAATTATAAAAAATTTTTGTTTGGGATTTTTTAAAAAAAGAAATCTTTCAAAATGGCTTACAAACTTGTTACAATTAAAATAAAAATCATCGTACGTCAAACGGATTCGAACCGACGACCTATTCCCCTTAAATTTAAAAATTATCCAACTACACCAAAGGATACAACAATGGTTTATCAAAAAAAAATAATTGACACATTCTGACACGACAAAATATCTCATTCTCACCAGTAGAACGAAATGTCCCTTACCATGCCTTCTCATCCAAAAATCTTTCAAATTAATTTAAAAAATAACCTACAACCACTAAAGTTTTGTATTTTTCAACCAAATAAAGTAACTGATTTCGGTATTTTGATATTGGCAAGCGTTGACGTTGTTGTTGGATAGAAAGGGCTAGGAAAGGATTGTGATAAATAATTGAAGATGTTTGGTCCGCTTCCAAATTTAATTTTCCTTCATCGACAATTGTTGCAGCAGCATCGTCATCTTAAAAAAAAATTTCAGAAAAAAATCTTTAAAAAAACCAATCGGTCTCAAAAAATGTGGACGTCCAACACCGCCGTGTCTTTTATTTCCATATCTATTGTGTTCCATTTTTTCTGTACTTTAAAAACAAAATTAGATTAATAATACAATCAAAAATAAATAATTTTCTATTCATTTTAAATAGAATTTTGAATAAACCAACAAAAATGATTTTAAAATATTTATTCCAGAAAAAAGCATTAGAACATGCTTAAAATTAACATTCTGTATTCTTTGGTGTAGTCGGATAACTTTTGAATTTAAGGTAAATAGGGGTGTGGGTTCGAAACCGCTTGCCTCCCAACAATTTTTATTTTCATTTTACTAATTGTATTTCCCTTTAAAAAATTCCAAAACAAAAAATGTAACAAAATTCTGTCTTTTTTGGTGTAGTTGGATACCTTTTAGATTCCCGGCAAAAAGGAGGCGTGAGTTCGAATCCGCTAGCCTCCCAATAATTTTTATTTTAAAAGTTAGAAATTTTATTTCCCCTTAAAAAATCCCAAAACAAAAAATAGTAGCAAAATTTTGTCTTTTTTGGTGTAGTTGGATAAATTTTAAATTTCAGGCAAAAAAGGGTGCGGGTTCGAACCCGCTTGCCGCCCAACAATTTTTATCTTAATTTTACAAATTTTTTAAGCTGCATTTTTTAAAACTCCACCATTTAAAAAATCCCAAATCATAAAAAATTTACTTATGGACCTCATAAAAATCAAATTTCTTTAACATCATCAAACGCCTTTCGAGCTCTTTTCAATTCTTCACTTAAAGATAAAAGCTCCTTGACTCTCCCAAATTTCTTTTGGTCTCTTCGTATTACTTAAAAGATAATTTTTATTAAATTTTATAAACTAAACCTTACAATAATGAATATCTTCCAAATTTATTCGATTTGGTTTGCCAACTTCCAAAGCTTTTCTACACACTTCTCTAATATAGTCCATCACTATCTGTTCCAAAACTTCCAATGTATTTTCTGCTGGTTGCTATAAAAATAAAACATAAATCTGATTGTTTGGATGAGGCAATTTTGACTCTAGCAACAATTCTCAGTTTTTAAAAATTTAACGAGAGACCTTTAGGAGTGTGAAACCTCTCGACACATGAATCCTTGAAAATTAATCTTTTTTAATAAAATTATACAGGATGTAGAATCTTATCGTGTAAAATACAACCTAATGCTTTAAAAAATATTTTAAAAATTTTTAGGCAATGCGTAGAGAGGTTCCCCTGTTAGACCATAAAATCCGCCTCCCCCAAAATCTATCAAAAATATTTTCTAAAAAAATCCACAAACCTTTTCATCACCAAATCCATACAGCATTGCTCTCAATTCTCTTCTAAATATAAATTTTCGCTCTTCAGGAGTTTTCTTTTTAGACTCGTCATCTTCTTCTTCTTCCGAATCGAACAGGCAGGAAGCATCAATCATTTTACTTTAAAAAATAATTTTTATAAAAAATCTAAAAACAGGAAACATATTTTTCTAGTCATTTTAACAACTTTTTAGCCACAAAAAAATTACAAAAAAATTATTTTATTAAAAAAAGAAAAATTTTTATTTTACAAAAAATTCTTTAGAAAGAGATCAAAGCATGTCACACATTTCACCAATACCACATTTCACCAACAAGGCTAAAATTTCTCATTTTGTCAACAAGCCTTTGTGACAAAATGTCGATTTTTAGCCTTATTGGCAAAATGTGTTATTGGTAAAATATGTTAAGGCCGATCTCAAAGACAATATTTTTTGTTCAAATTTTTAATAAAAGCATTACAAAAACTTTCTCTTCTAGCTTTAGCGTTAATTCTGAAAAGAGCTTCCATCATATAAGAATCACTTAATTTTGCACTTGTTCCAGATATTCTTACAATTTTTTGTCTTAAATGTATCCACAAATCCATACATTGATTTGTGTTGATATTTAAAATACTTCCATCCTCTAATTCAACAACTTTAGATGATCCAACATCCGGGTTTTCTTCAGAACGAATTAATACATGCCTGTGATAAAAAAGAAATACTTTTTAAGTATGTCGGCAAAATCCGCAAATTTTTTCAGGAAAGTCCGCAAATGTTGTCCGCAAAAGTCAAAATTATTTTTTTTTTTGCTTAAAATGAGATTTTTTGCGGACAAAAAATTTGCGGACTTTGTCAACATCATTTAAATCAAGGAGGGATCCTGACAATGGGGGATCGAAAAGTTGGAGGTCGGAGAGACTTTTGTAACTCCACTACACAACACCATGATTTGAGTCAAAGGATTGTGTGATTTAAAATTTATTCCCCAACCTACCCAAAATAAACACCAAAAAAGGAAGGAATCTCTACCCCATATTAATTCAAAAAAACGAAACTTACTTATATTGTGGTATTAATTTTTCCATTAATAAATAACTTGTGTAATCCTTTGAAATTATTAAAGTTCCAGGTTCAATCCATTTTTCGATCATTCTTAAAAGTGTGCTCATTTCCTTATCTTCAACACGTTCCATAATTGCTTGTCCTCCCTCTCCGTGTTCTATACAACCAAAATATCTTTGAAAAAAAATTTTTTTGAAGTTTTAATAAAAAGTAGAGTTGATCCTCGACCCTGATTCCTATCAAAATCCGAAGATGAATTCACCCGATAGCCAATTCCCACAGAATCCCCGTTCTCCAAAAAAAATTAGAATTTCCCCGGCAGGTTGGGGCCAACCCCAAAAAATTTTTTTCTTTAATTTTTATAAAATTGGGTTGATAAAAAATATTAGCCATGATTTCTGAACCTTCCCTGACCCCATTTCCCTGAAAGTCAATTCCCCCGACATCCTCTGTTCCCTAAAAAATTTTTTTCTTTAATTTTTATAAAAATTGGGCTAATAAAAAATGAGGGTCATCGACAATCAATTCCCCGTTAATCTCGGTCCTCTTAACAAAAAATATCGTCTAGTCCTCGTCCGACGATTTCTGTACTAGCCATGATTTCTAAACCTTTCCTGATCTCATTCCCCGAAAGTCAATTCCCCCTACATCCTCTGTTCCACAAAAAAATTTTTCCCGACTAATTGGGGACCAACCCTAATTTTAACAAAAAAAATTTTTTATACAATTCTTCTCTTGCTTCTCCATTAGTTCTTCTTTTTCTGTGTTCCTGATTTAACCAACAAGTTTCATCTATTACAATCATTTTATTTAAACCTCCAATTTTTTCTTTCAAATTAATACATTCATTTCGGCAATTATTGAACCAAGAAACGACTGTAGTTGACTCTATATTTAATTCTTCAACAACATTTTTGTTCTGAAAAAAATTTTTTTAATCAATCCAATTGTTTGAATCGTCTTTTCACCTTGGAGTTTCCCTAGATTTCAGAAAGGCAAAAAATTTTTTTTAGAAAGATTATGTCTCCTCTCGTATTACCCAGACAATTAAACAGAAAAAAAGTAACGGACAATACGGAAGGGTCGAGGTACCCAAAACCCGCTACTCTGACATTCTTCGATCCGAGACCCAACCTTTATTTTTCTCACTCAGCTCATTCCATCCTTGATTGTCAGAATAAGGAATTCTAAAAGGAATTCTTGTCAGAAAAAGGAAAAAAAGAATTCCATATTCTCGGAAATTTTTGACGAAAATGAAAGGAAAACAAAGCTGAGATTCAAAAAAAATTTCGAGGTTAGTCGAAAAAGACACGGTTTCGGGGAACCCAACTTCGAGTAACCCAACATTAATGCCAATTAATATTGAAAACAAAAATACTAAAGAGATATTAAACAAAAAATTAACCATAAATAAAAAAACCTGAAAATCTTTCAACCACATATAAATTAAAGGCACCAATTTAGACAGATTGAGCGAACTTCTAGAGAAAAAAGACCCATCTCTAACAGACTTTCTTTTCTCACATTTTTTGCATTTCCATTCAACCTCCTCTCTTCTTTTATTTAAACACATAAAATCTTCACAACCTGGACATTTCATTTTATTTTTAATTAAACCGTTAAATGCCAAGAATTTGAGCAAATTGTCATAATTTTGTCCAAAAATTCATTTTAAATTTATTACGTCAATAGTTGGCCAAATCTGAAGGGAAAACAATAAATTAAATTTAGAAAAAAATTCTAAATTTAAAAAATAAAACCTCTCCATCTTCTATAATTTCTGTTCTCTTTATTGGTGCCATTTACAAGTCAAAAATTAAGAAAATTAGTAAGTAGTCTCAAAAAAAGAATTTAAGAAAATTATTTAATAAGAAGGTAATTAGTCAATAACTTTGTTAAGAAAAGGCTCTAAAAAAGAATAAAAAAATTATAATTGGCTCTAGTCTAGTTTAGTAGTCCAATAAAAAAATTTTTTTATTAGTCCATTCAAAGCTTAAGAGTTTTTTATTTAATAAAAAATTTTTTTCAGACCCTTAAACCTTTATTGGTCCCATAAACTTTGACTAGACTAATAACCCTTCTTTGGACTACTAAACTAAACCAGAACCAAATAATTTTAATACCCACCTTATGGCAGGTGGAATTTAATAAAAATTAAAAAGTATATGTATAAAAACATTAGAAATTTTCAAAAAACTTTTTTTAATTTAAAAAATATTTATTTTATAAAATACATTTATTATATTTATTTAAAGTATAAAAATGGCAATTTCTAGCTAATAAATTAAAAACTTTAATTTTTTAAATTTTAAAAATCATCTGTAAAGTCAATGTCGAAAGTTTTCATTTTTTCAAATGCCGATTCCAAAAGATTTATAGTCGTATCCAAATGTTTCCCTTCGAAAATTAAAGCGGGACGGAATCTAAAGGAGGATAAAAAATTAAAAAAAAGATAATGACATTTTTTTTTCATTTCGAGTCTTGGACATTATGAGAAGTCTTTTTTACATTAGAGAAATTTTTTCGGATAGTATGAGCTTTGGACCCTCTACCCAACCCAGGGCTGGGCGCAATTGGAAAAAAATTTCCGCAGCCGCAATTTTAATCTTAAAATCCGCAAACGCAATCCGCAATTGCGCCCAGCCATGACCCAAACTCACAATTAAACATTTCGAGACTTGTGGATTTCGAGTTTTGGACATAATAAGAAAATATTTAAAATAACAAAAAAACTTCAACCTTATTGTAGCATCACCACAACCCCCAATATGCAATCCTAGATTAATTGCCGTGTTGAGAAATTTGTCTCGAATTGTCGGGTTAGGCATATCAAATGAACAAAGAGTTCCAAGTCCGCGAGAATTTTTAAGCTTTAAAAAAAAGAAAAAAATTTTTAAATTAAATTTAAAAATAAACCAAATGAGGATAACATTTTTCCAAATTTTTTAATTCAGCCAATAAATCATTTCCAACATTTTTTGCTTTGCTGACAAGTTGATCTCTTTTAATTACTTGAACAATTTTTTCTAAAAGTACCAATTTTGTTGGTTCACCCATCCATCTAAAAAATTAAAAAAAAATTTTTAAAAATTAAAAAAAATGATTTTATAGAGATGAATAGAGTTGTCGGTTCTTGGAAAAATCCTAGGATATCCGGAATCGAACCGAAGAAGAAATTTTTTTAAGTGTTGATTTTTAGGTTAATGTGTCATTTCTAAGGAACTGTCAGTTCGAAATCGAATCGAGGATTTTCGGTTCGGTTCTTCGGGTCATTTTCGAACACGAGTTTACTAGGGATGTGCCGAAAGAGATTTTGAAAAGCGACACGCGAAAAGTCCAAAAAAAGCGAAAATCCGCGAAAAGCGAAACTGGCACGCCCCTGGAGTTTACCCAAAAAAATTTAAAAAATAAATTTTTTTGATTAAATTTTTTCAAAAACAAATACCCGAATTATCCCTATTTTTTATTATTCTCATAAAATAAAAAAATCAAAAAACCAACGTATTGTAAATTCGATATGGCTAAAAATTCAAAATTAAATCTTTCAAAAAAAATAAAAAAACCTCATTAACTCTCAAAGAGTCTTTATAGTAATAACCACCAGTCAATAACTTTTTTGAGAATGTAACAAAATCGGGAGGTTCTAAAAAAATTTTTTTAGAAAATTTAAAACCCCAAAATTAAATTTACTTGGCAATCCCCACTGTTCATGTACCCAAAATGTCCCACAAATACCTCCACCTGTTTGTACTTCATCCACAATAAAATAAACACCCTTATTTTCACACACTTTTTGAAGACCGCGAAAGAATGCTGGCGATGCATGGTGATCACCTCCCTCGCCTAAAAAATATTTTTAAAGGAAAATGGGGTCGTAACAATTTCTATGGCGATAAGTAACCAGTTCTGCTTTTTAGAACTTTTAACGTCCGAAAACTTTGAAGCCCTATAACTTTTCGAAATAGGGGTCAGGGGAAGAAAAGCCAAAAAAGAAAAGCTATCGACCTCTACACGATCGTATAATTTTTATAAAAAAAATTTTTTGTCATATGTAGTTCAGAATGTTCCCTTGTGAGTGAGTAGAATTTTTCCCTAAATTTTTTTTCCAAAAATTAATCAAAAACAAAACTTCGAAAAAAATCACACCCAAAAAACCCCAAAAATAAAACAAAATAAAAAAATAACAAAAAACATTGTATTGGTTCAACAATCAAAGCCGCAACTTCATTTCCTTTTTGTTTACCTTCATCAATTAATTTAGCAACTTCTTCCAAACATTCTTTAAAATTAAAAAAATTTTTAATTAAAAATTAATTTAAAAAATACTTTTATCCTGTTCCTCATTATATTTTTTATTTTCATCCAAAGGGTATAAATAACGAGGAAAGTTAGCTACTGGCCATTTTAACGCCTAAAAATTAAAAAAAAATGGAAATAAAATTAGAAAAGTTGCACGACATTTGCGGACCAAATTCACAGCCAATATAAATTGGAACAAACGACGATAGGTTGTTTGTTTTTTTACAAACAACAGGGTACTTATTTAGTTTCCCACCCCCAGTCAGTTTTTCCGAAAATTATGTAAAAATGGTCAGTCTGAACAACAATTGTAGAACCCATCGAGCCATGTCGAATGACACCAAAATCAACAAAATCCGACTTGATTTGACCTAAATACAGACCCCTAAACCACAGGGGCACAAAATCATAAAGACGAAGATCTATACAAATGATAGCTCATTTGAAAGAGCTCGTCGAGCTGAGTTGAATGAGACCAAAATCAACAAAATCCTACTTGATTTGACAAAGATATGACATAAATCATCGACTACGGTAGGTCTAAATAATATCATAACTTTGTCAAATCTTGTCCGATTTCGTTGATTTTGGTGTCATTCGACTCAGCTCGACAAGCTGAGTCGAATGAGCTATCATTTGGGTAAACTTTTTTTATTTCAAAAAATCACCCCCATGGTTGTTCAATTTTCAGGGGTCTGTATTTCGGTCAAATCAAGTCCGATTTTGTTGATTTTGGTGTCATTCGACAGAGCTCGATGGGTTCTACAATTGTTGTTCAAACTGATCATTTTTACATAAATTTCGGAAAAACTGACTGGGGGTGGGAAACTAAATAAGTACCAACAACAGCAACGCAGTTAAGCATAGAGCACTATTGTGGTGAAACACTACATACAAGGGAAGGGCAGGTTTTGAACAAAATCAGTTTAAACTACTCCCAATACCGAAATTTTTCGACTCAAAACTCGTTCAGCGAAATTTCCTAAAACTCGGCACAACTTTCTCACCCGTACAAGGGATATAAAAAATTTGCAAATGTCGCCATACCAAATAATTTAAAAAACTACCGGGATATCAACTTTGTGAATGGCTTTGGAACTACAAAAAAATTTTCAAAAATATAAAAATTAAGAAAAACCGAGTTATGCTTAACATTCCAAGTGAACGACCATGAAAAGAGCCTCTAAAACCTAAAAATGAGCAAAAATAAATTTTTCAAAAAATTCTAAAAAATACCAAGCACACACAAATTTGGACTTCCAGGTATTTCATTATTCATACAACTTTCCATATCTTCTTTTGATGGAAGTTTTCCTCCTCTTTTACGTGTTTGGTAATGAATAAAAGCTGTTTTTATTGCATTTTCATTTGCAGAGGTTCCACAAAGCATTGCTTGGACATGCCCTAATCCTTTAGGGGCAACTTGACCCAAAGAATTTTTCAAAATTTGAACAAAGTCAGTTCTTGGGTATCCTCCCAATGCTGGTCTACTTACTGAACATGTCTTAAATAAAAAAAATTTTTTGGGTTTATGAAATTGAGCGTAGATAAAGAAAATTTAAGGAAAGCAGAGCATAGTGCAACGAAACGCCAAACAACCAAAAATTTTAAATATTTTTTAAATTTTTGTTCTCATATTTTTATTGGGAGAACTTGCTGGCCTCGACATACAAATTGTTTAGGCATCCGTAAAAAAGTATTAATATTTTCCCAGGCAATTTTTTGCAAATTTTCTGATTTTTTTCGTCTTTGTCATCCAATAAAAAAATAAAAAATCCGCAAAAATTGACAGAAAAAATACCGCCTCTCTTCAAAAGCGTAAAATTGTCAAACCTACCAAAAATCGATTCTCTCTTGCAGTTTCAATCAATTCTGGATGATTGTATCCAAGCGGGAGAGAAGATATTTGGGTATAAACATCCTACAAATTTCTCAAACAATTTATAAGAAAAATTCAAAAAATCATACCAACAAATTATTTCCATCTGCATCCACCAAATAATTTCCAAAAGATTTTTCATAATCCGCAAAAAATTTGACTGAAGTTGCTTGCTGAAATGGCAATTTTTTAAGGCTAAAAATATCAAAAAAATACATGTATTGTCTCCATTTCGTTTATAAGTTTTTTACTTTCAGGTCCAGGCACTTCGGTTCGCATAAGCGGGGCTTTAGGTTCTGATGTTGGAAGAGAACATATGTAACGACGAAGAGCTGAAAAAAATAAATTTTTTAAGGGAAAAGTTTTGTGGCCCCAATCCAGGAAAAATTATTCTGTGACCCCTACTCAAAATTGAAATGAAAAATCATTAAAAAATCATTTTAGTATGCAACTAATATACACCCACTTGAATATAAACAAATAAAGGTGATCCAAAAATTATATTACCAATTCGGTTCTTTTCCGTTATCCCACCAGAATTTTTTGCGGATTTTTTCCCTTTTTGCGGAATCATTTATCTTTCTTTCTATACTGCTTTTCTTCCTAAACAAGGTAAAAATGTGTCCGCAAAAAGAGAAAAAAGCCCGCAAAAAATTCTGTTAGGAATAACAGAAAAGTGCAAACACTTCAAAAAAATTATACTTAAAAAATTATATTTAAAAATTTAACTAACCTCCATTTAAACAAATTAATCCCCTTCTCGACAGCATAATAAAAATTAGTGTTCGGCAAATGACCTTTTCCGGTATTCGGTATCGGTATACCGAAAAAATACCGATACCGAAAAATACCGTTTTTTACAAAAATTGACCGGTACGGTATCGGTATCGGTATACCGAAAAAATACCGATACCGAAAAATACCGTTTTTTTCAAAATTTGACTGGTACGGTATCGGTATCGGTATACCGGAAAAAAATACCGCGGTATACCGGGAAAAATACCGCGGTATACCGTACCGTGCCGAACACTAATAAAAATATCTAAAAAAATTATTATTTTAAAAAATTTAACTCATAAAAAAGATAATAAAGGAAAAAACCGTTCAAAAAACGAAGAAAATAAAATTTAGAAATTATTTATTTAACAAAACAAATTCGAAAAAATAAATATAAAAAATATTTTTTTGAGCAATAAAAAATAACAACAAAATTCTTCTCTTAATATAATGCGTCCTTTCATTGATTACTCTTGCCTATAAAAAATTGTAAACAAATTATTTGTAAATAAAAAAAAGAAAAGAGTAAGGCAAAACTTGTTGTTGTGAGGGTTCTCCTTTTATTTTTTAAGTAGCCACCCCCCCCCCCTAATCAATCTCTCTCCTTTTCATTTTTATATTCAACTAGAAAATTTGATATTATTGTGCTTAACACCTAACCAAATTTCAAAGAATAATTCAAAAAAAAAATAAAAAAATAAACCCTCGAAAAGTACCAAAAGGATTACTCCAGAAGATTTTAAAAATCCGATCTCAAAATTGCCTCACTCTTTGTTAGAAAAAATACAAAAATATTTTTAAAAAATATCTTGATTGAATTTTTATTTTATTTTCAAGAAATTTTTTTCCCCAAAAATTTTTATTAAAAAATTCAATCAAGATTCAATTCATCGCAAAAATCACGTTTCAAATTCTTTCCATTTTCAACAAATTGTTGAGCAGATAAAATTATATCATCATGAGAAATATTTATATTATTGACCAATTGACTAGAAAATTATTTTTTTAATTACAAAAAAATTTTTAGAAAATTTTCAAAAAAATTTTCTAAAAATCATAATTTTCCCAAAAATTTTTAAAGATATCACTTACCCATCTGTTCTCTCAACTAAATTTTTAGCAACATCTCTATATTTTGCCAAACAAGCATGTCTTACAATTTCTTTCAAGTCAGAACCACTCATTCCATCTGTTGATGTTGCCACTTTTTTATAATCAAAATCATCCGTTACATTCTCATTTTTAAGTAATACTTTAAGAATTTCTTCACGTTTAATTACATCTTGAAATTAAAAAATAATAAACAAAAGTCCATTTACCATTTGGTAATACTGAGTTCCGTGCCCCCACCCCCTTTTTCTAATTTTCCATTTAAATGTACGTAATGGTCAGACTTCCTTTCTCACATCAACTTTACTCGTTTTCCTTGTGGTTTTTTAAAATGATTTTTGACATCAGGTTCTCCTCCTTGCATCTTTTCTTAAATTTGATTGACTGGGCACAAGAGAAATCGAGTTAAATTGAAAGTCTGACCATTATGCACAATCTAAGAAGAAAAGGGAAGGGCAAGAAACTCGTTATTACCAAAAATCCTCCCAAAAATTTTTAAAAAAACCTGGCTTTGGAACATTTAATCTAAAAGGTAAACGTCTCAAAACGGCAGAATCCAAATCTTCTGGCCGATTAGTTGCACCAATTATAATAACAGAATTAACAGATTGAGCAAATCCATCCCATAAGGCCATAAATTGTGTTTTCATAACCGCTGTAGCTTCGTGGTCATTTCTTGAACGGAAACGAAGAACAGAATCTTTAAAAAATAAAAAAATTGAAATTAATCCAAAAAATAAACAAAAAATACCAATCTCATCAATAAAAACAATGCAAGGCTGAATTTTTTGACACTGCAAAAATTTAAAAATAAAAAAGAAAATTAAAAATCGAAAAAAGAGGATTAATTTGTGAGCTAAAAAAGCACAGGACCTAGAGGGACTCAAACCCTCACCCAAAATTTCCTAAGTCAAGAACTTAAACACTGAACCAACCAATAACACAGTTAAAATTACAAATTTACTCGCTATATTCATTTTACAAAATATTCAAAAATCTAACCAAAGTGAATAGAGCCTTTGTAAGTTTTGACGTTTCACCATACCACATATCTAAAGTTAAAAATTTTTTTCTTAATTTTTAAAAATAATTTTAAAAAATTCTCTAACCATTTAAAATAGAAATGTCAAAATTGAGAAAATTAGCCTTTGCTTTTTTAGCAATTGCCCTAGCAATAAACGTCTTTCCACAACCAGGAGGTCCATGAAGTAAAATTCCTTTTAAAATTAAAAAAAAATAAAAAAGAAATTAACAAAGGAAAATTATAAAAACCTTTAGGAGGGCCATAATAAGCCGAAGGAATAGTTATATTAGAAGCTTGAATTAATAATGGAAATATAACATCATCTTCAATTTGTGCCAATAAATCTGCACAGCCACCAATATCTTCCATATCAACACCAGATTCTGGCAAAACTTTAAAAAAATAGAAAATTATAAAAGATCATTTGTTTTTTAATTCTAATTTTTAATGCAATAACTAAAAAACCTTAGTCTAATCATCATCATTGTTCACCGTCCAAAAGTCGAGGAATTCTCAGGCTTCCTCGGAACTATTTCCCCGAGCATAGTTGACGGGGAATTCACGAGCCTCCACAAAATTTTTCCCGAACTCCCCCTCCCCTCATTCCCAACGACGGGGAATAACCATAAAATACAATCAAAAAAAAACTAAGTCAAGCGTACCCCATAGATTCTCTTTTTTGATTGTATTTCATGGTTATACCCCTTGCCTTAAAAAACCCCCCAAAATTGCCAAAAAAAACCTATTTGAGTTGCCAAACGTAATTCATGTTCATTTAATTCTTCTCTAGGTTTAAGCTTCAAAAAAGACTTTAATTCTTCCATTCTCTTTTTTGCTTCCTTTTTTCTTTCATGATTAGGGTCAAGAAGTGTAACAACTTTTAAAGTAACATAGCAAGCAATTCCTGCAGACAATAATGTTGCTACAGATTTTATTATTGCAGATAATACTTTATCACTTGGTGGATCCATCTAAAAATAATTTTTGTAAATTAATTCTAATTTTAGAGGAACCAAAATTGGATCAGATTTTTAAAGTTTAGGCATGGTTTATTGGTCTGAGATTTGGAGGATTAAGAAGAATTTATGGAAACTGACCTAGAATCGATACCAAGCCTCTTTACCAAACTCCGAAACAAAGAAAATTCTGAAACCTTTACCCCACGACCCTTTTCTCACTCAATACCCGAGTCATGGTATAAAACTAAACCTAAGCCCTCAGGATAGTATGAGCCAAGTTACTCAAATTCCAATACCCGAAACCCATATTTTTTTGATCCGAACAAGATCCGATTGAAAACCCTGATCCGACTTTTTTTTTAAATCCGGTTGAAGAAAAAGATTTCAAAATTTATTCTAATAAAAGAATCTTTAACTTTATTTAAGACCCACCTCAATCCCTACAAAAAAAAACAATGGAGCGTGGTTAAACGGAAACTATTAATTAAAAACCCCAAAGAGAAAACTAAAAGTATTCTAAATTAAAATAAAATAATATTTTTCATCAAATAAAAATTAAATTAACATCATTTTTATTCCATTCAACAATTAATAACAATTTTTAATTTTTTTTCTGAACACACTCCACAAAAATTTTTTCAATTTAAAAAATATTTTCTTATTTAACGAGCAGAAACACGCCAAACACGGATAAGATTGTCTGTATACCCAACAAACAAAGTTTGACCATCCAAAGACCAAGCAAGTGATGTACATTGTGGAGGTGATGGTTGCTTCTTTCCTGTTGTAGCTGTTGCAATATCAAGCTTCAATTCATCCACAACAGTTTTGTCTTCAAGATCCCAAATTTTAACAACTGGGCCAACAGCAGCACAAAGCCAATAACGATTTGGAGAAAATGCCAAAGCATTTATTACATCATTTCCACCCAAAGTGTAAAGATGTTTGCCTTCATTAAGATCCCAAAGCATTGCTGAACCATCCTAAAAATTAGAAAAAATTGAATAAAGAACTGGTTGGTGTACAAAAGTAAAAATGGGATGAATGTATGCCCCTGGATTTAATTAGGAAAATAATTCTGTGCCAGACTTTTCTGTAAGGAAGACAAAAAAATCTCTTACAAGTTGACTGGAATGCTCCCAAATTAAAAAGAATTTTATTCCCATGCATGACAGAATTACTAGTCCTGCTAATTGTAAGTTACTTAATAGGTTGGCAGCTCTTTATTCCCAAATATCCTGACCGAAAATTTTCAAAAATCGAACTTTTCGAATCCCGATTTTTCAGATACCCCACTTACATATAAGCTCACAAAATCAATTTATTATAAGAAAAGCGGAACACAGCAAACTACAAAAACTGCTTTTCTCGTTAGATTTTTTAACAGACCAAAAATTAAAATTCACAAACCTTGCCTCCCGAAGCACAAAGCGACCCATCAGGCGAAACAGTAACAGAATTAATATAACCTCCATGCCCAATATGGTTCGTCTTCAACTGGCATGTTCCCAAATTCCAAACTTTAACAATTCTGTCCCAACCAGCAGAAACAATGACTGGATTGGTATTGGACGGAGAAAACCGAACAGTAGAAACCCAATCTGTATGGCACTCATTCTTAAAAAGAATTTTTAGAAAATTTTTAAAAATCCAAAAAATACCACAATCGTGTGTTTACACTGTGCAAGAGTATTCCACAATTTAATCTTTTTATCGCGCGATCCAGAAACTATTTGGCGATTGTCAGCAGAAAAAGCAACGGAAAGAACATCTTTTGTGTGAGAAACAAATTGACGAGTTGTCCGGCCACTGAAATACAAAATGATTTTATTTAGATACAATAGAGGCCAAGAATGATTGATTGACTAATCATGATTTTGATTCATCGGATGTTAAGCAAAGGAAACAGCAAACACCTTGAGAAACGTGTAAATTTTTATTTTTCCTAAAGCTTCTCATGGTGTTTGGAGTTTCCCATGTACAGGATCCAATGGATCAAAAGCACAAAATCTATCAATTAGGGTGCCCTTTTAGGCGAGGGCCAATTTTACAAGTCAACGGGAGTTGCGGGGAATTCGAACCATGGAGTGAACAGGCGACTTTATGGGGAGACCTTCCCCCGCTCCTCGGGAACTCCTTTCCCTGTGGACGGCAGTCGAACTCTACTGTCAATCCAAGATCGCTACGACCAATTGTCAAAATTAAACGCATAAACAAACGTGTTAAGGTCCCAAAGACGCAAAGTTTTGTCCCACGAGCCAGAAAGTGCATATTGCCCATCAGATGACATTACAACGTCAGAAACAAAATGTCCATGCCCATGAAGGGACTTTAACGGTTTGCCTGTCAAAACTGATCCAGACTCATCCAACTGCCACAAAATGATTGTTTTGTCTAAAATTTAGAGAAAGAATTTTTACAAAAATTTACTGAAAGAAACCTCTTGAAGAAGAAACTAACATATTTTTGTACACTGGACTAGCCGCAATTTGAGTGACCCATCCATTGTGTCCACGTAATTGACCTTCCAATTTCATTTGTTCTCCCATGATTACAAGCTAATTTTTAATTTTTCAGAACCTAACAAACTTGAAAAAAGAAAAGAATAAAATATGCCTTATTAGAGAGCAGGACTTTCAAAAAACCTTGACCTTGATTCCTGATTTTGGTTGGGTACCTTGACCAGATTCTTAACCTTGAGTTAGGGAAAAAACAAGTTCAAGGAAAAATCAAGGTCTGGATCCAGATCCAACTCGCTCTCTACGATTTATGAACGAAAAAAAATGTCAAAAATCCACTCTAAAGAAAATCTTTTTTTTCCTTCTCTAAAGTGAATTTTTTGTGCAGTCTATTTCAACAGGACAGTTGAGTCTAACATGAAAGAAGTAATTAAAAGACGAAATTCAATTACCGAAAAGCTCAATAAATTCCGAAAAATAATGACATTAATTATACTTCTTCAGAAATTCAGAAAACTTACCGTAATAAATATTTTTAGTACTGTAGAAATTTTTTAGCAGAACAGTCCATTTTGGTGCTAATTTATTTTCGCTTTTTATCTTTAGCGTTAAACTGGATTGTTCAATTCCTCTTGTTTTTGTCGGCTACCCTACAACTCATCCAATCCTTAACTCATCTAACACTTAACTCATCCACACGGCCAAAAACGCTCAACTCATCCAATCCTCAACTCATCTAATGCTTAACTCATCCACACGCCCAAAAACGCTCAACTCATCCAATCCTCAACTCATCTAATGCTTATCTCATCCACACCCCCAAAAACGCTCAACTCATCCAATCCTTGAAATATCGGCCGGTTGAGTCCCTAGCCGGTTGAGTCCCTGGTCAGTTGAGTCTCAACCGGCCCAAGACTCAACCGGCGGTAATCAACCACTCAAACGGCCGGGACTCAACTGACCAGGGACTTAACCGGCTAGAGACTCAACTGGTCATGGACTCAAACGGCCAGGGACTCAACTGGTCATGGACTCAAACGGCCAGGGACTCAACTTGTCATGGACTCAAACGGCCAGGGACTCAACTTGTCATGGACTCAAACGGCCAGGGACTCAACTGGTCATGGACTCAAACGGCCAGGGACTCAACTGGTCATGGACTCAAACGGCCAGGGACTCAACTTGTCATGGACTCAGACGGCCAGAGACTCAGACGGCCAGAGACTCAACTTGTCATGGACTCAGACGGCCAGAGACTCAGACGGCCAGAGACTCAACTGGTCATGGACTCAGACGGCCAGAGACTCAGACGGCCAGAGACTCAACTGGTCATGGACTCAGACGGCCAGAGACTCAGACGGCCAGAGACTCAAACGGCCAGGGACTCAAACGACTGGTACTCAATAGTCTCGTTCCAAAGGATTGGATGAGTTGAGCGTTTTTGGCCGTGTAGATGAGTTAAGCATTAGATGAGTTGAGGATTGGATGAGTTGAGCGTTTTTGGCCGTGTGGATGAGTTAAGCATTAGATGAGTTGAGGATTGGATGAGTTAAGCGTTTTTGGCCGTGTGGATGAGTTAAGGAATTTTAGCCGTTTAGATGAGTTGAGCGATTTTGGGCGTGTGGATGAGTTAAGTATTAGATGAGTTGAGCGGGCACGTTTTTGTCAAGTAATTAGAGAAATAAAAATTAGTAGAGAAATAATAGAGAAATTAGAAGAGAAGCAGAGAAAATGGCTCCGGTACAAAATATGGAATCGTTAAAATATGGAATGGTTAAAATCGCGAATAGGCTAAAAAGGGGTTAAAATACCGAATCGTTAAAATATGGAATCGTTAAAATATCGAATCGGGTAAAAAAGGGTTAAAATATGGAATCGTAAAAATATGGAATGGTAAAAATGTCGACACGGCCAAAATGGGTCAAAATGTCGAATTCTTTTAAAAACGGGTCAGATTTGTGCCATACGTTGATTGTTGATAATTTTATCAACATCAGTTTATTGATGATAAGTTGATTGATAAGTTTGGTAAGTCGTAGTCCGTCGTAATCTTTTCTGTCTGAGTTCACTGTACTTTACCGAGTAAAACCGGACCGGATAAATCAAGCATAATCGACCGGATCCGGTCCGGCATGATCGTACGGATCCGGAAAACATAACGCGATCCTGATATGGAAAAATTAGAGTGGTATGCATTAGTTTTTAGTTAAGACCTAAAGTTTGACCTTACCGTATACGGTACGGAATACCGAAAAATAACGGTCAGCTTTTAAATTTTATCGGTCGGCATTCCGTACCGTACAACCGACACGGAATACCGAAAAATACCGTCGGTATTACGGTAACGCCCGGATTCAAGGTTTTGGCGCATCTTTAAAAAAATTCGACATTTTGACCTATTTTGGCCGTGTCGACATTTTATCAATTCGATATTTTAACGATTCCATATTTTAACCCTTTTTTAGCCGATTCGATATTTTTACCATTCCATATTTTAACGATTCCACATTTTAACCCCTTTTTAGCCTATTCGCGATTTTAACCCATTTTTACCCGATTCGAGATTTTAACCCTTTTTTAGCCTATTCCATATTTTAACGATTCGATATTTTGTCCGGACACGGAGAAAATAGTTGAAAAATGGAATTTGAGTCTGACGGTTATTTCAGTATTTTTTTCTTCACTTTCGCAATATTAATTTTAATTTTTTTTAGATTTTATTCATTTTTCAATTAAACTTTAGTTAAATTATGGCAGACGTTAAACCAAATCATACTCTTTACATCAACAATTTGAACGAGAAAATTAAAAAAGAAGGTAAATTTTGGGGAATTTTTATCAAAATAAAATTTATTTTTAGAGCTTAAAAAGGCGTTGTATGCAATTTTTTCACAATTTGGACAAATTATTGACATCTTGGCTTTTGCCCATTTAAAAATGAGAGGACAGGCACACGTTATTTTTAAGGAAATTAATTCTGCCGCAACAGCGCTTCGTTCAATGCAAGGATTTCCTTTTTATGACAAACCTATGCGAATCCAATTTTCGCATATTGATTCTGATGTTATTGCTAAAGCTAAAGGGACTTATGTTGAAAGGTTTGTTTTTCTTTTTTTTTAATTTGGGGATTTGTAGATAAGTAATTTGGTTAGATTACGTTATGGTTTATACGGACTTTTTCCAAAATTGGTTCATTTAGGGATGTAAGGATATTTTATCTAAAGGAGGAGAATTCGTTCAGAACGCTTAGGTTGGGGTTAAGTGAATTCCTTCCGAAAAAAAAACATGTTTACGGGCCTGGTCAGCGTTTAATTATGATCTATAAATGATCTATAAAGCGAAGGGGAAAGCTATCGCTGGTAGCTCAGTGGTGAACACCGCACTGTCAGCGGCAGGTCCGTAGACTGGGGGTTAGGCCCCCCTTGGACCCCCTCCTGGAAAAAATCTGGTTGCGGGCCTGGTCAGCGTTGTCTCAGAAATATTCGAAAATTGGCCGTATTTTGATTGTCGATAAAGATATCAAATTTACCGCTAAGCCTTGCTTAAGCCTTATTAACCTCTATCCCTTTTCTATTTTTCACATTTTTTCTTTTTTGTTAGACCAAAAAAGAACATTGCTGTCCCAAAAAAGAAAAAGAAAGCTGTTGAAGTTGCCACAACTAAAAAGGGTAAAGCTCCAAAGGATGGACAGCGTTCTTCTGCTCCACCAAACAAAATTCTTTTTATTACAAATTTACCTCCAGAATGCACTAAGGAAATGTTAACTGTCGTTTTTCAACCGTAAGGAATCTGGTGCTTATTCGTTATCTCCCCGAATTTTCTCTTTTATTTCCCCTTCTCCTTCAAAGGCGTAGCTAGGGGGTTGATTTCAGGGGGGGTTCACTTTTTGCTCAATCCCTTCCTCAAATTTTTTTCTTTTCCCCATTTGGGGGGGGGGGTTAGCTTTAGCCCCAGAAGCCCTCCTGGCTACGCCTTTGTTCTCTTTAGAAAAGGCAAATAATGCCATCATTTTACCATCTATGGCGGTAAGTACTCAGCTCTGAATTTTAGAACATATAATCCGGTACCTTTATTTCTGTCGTCTTACTCACATAAAATCTTTTTTTTGGAACAGGCAGAGGGGGAAAACGAAAAGAATTGGGGGGAGACAACGAATACGACCAATTTTTAAACCTAAAAAACAAAAAAATTCTTTTTAAGTTTTCCTGGACTTCGCGACATTCGTCAGATTACTGATCGTACCGACATTGCCTTTGTTGAATTTAGCAATGAAAATGAAGCTACAAATGTTAAGAAGGCTTTAAACAATTTTAAGATTACTCCAACACATGCTATGCGTGTTGAATATGCCAAGAAGTGAAGAACGGTTTGAATAATTTTTTGATGTGTGAGACATCTTTAATTGATTATTTTATGATTTTTTCTTGGGAATAATTTTGTTTGGCCTCAAAAATATATTTTAATATTGATTGTGAGTAGTAGTGTCGTTATGGGCCCCCTAACTTTATTTTTTTGATATCCGCTTTGGTTGGGGAAGAAAAATGGATAAAAACCAAAGGAAAATTGGGAGGAAGATGTGGATCCCTTATCGATGCTATTAACTCATTTATGGGATTTATGGGACTTTTTCCCTGTTATGCACTTGGGATAGGAGGAAGTAAAATGGGTAAAACAAGGAAAAAATAGGGAGAGAACAGAGCTCGATCGGAATTCCGAAAGTTCCGATTTCCGGCATTTTCGATATTTCCGATCGACCTCTGGTGAGAAGAAAGACCCGTCCCGAGCCCCTAAACGACGTCAAGGACATCTAAACGACGCTATTCTACCTTTTATATTTTTAGCTTTCTTTATTATGATCGAATCTTAAATCCGCCTCTATATGGTCATCCATTTATTCCCCAATCTCATTTATTAAACAATTCATTGGGCATGGAACTCGAATAACTCCCTAATTTTACTTGGGGAAAGGGAAAACTTTATTATTTTTATTACTGCTTTTATTTTTAAATAAATATTTGTCTTGATTTATTTTTTAAATTTATTTTTCTCGTTTAATCGATGCATATTTTAATTTAAAAAATTATTAATATTTTTTTAAATGATTTTAAGGATGCTTAAAGTGTTAAAAACTTTGCGGATTAATTCTTTGCGTCAATTGGTTTGATTTTTAATTTAATTGATTTAAAAACATTCTTTTTTAGAGCAAGTTTGCTTCTGCAAATGAAGCTCTGGAACAACGCGGGGATGTTTTAAATTTGTCTGAACTTTCTAATGGGCTTCGTGTTGCTTCAAGTTTGAACGGTCGACCGACTACTACGGTTAATTTTTATTTTTACAAAGGGCCACATTGTTTATTGTCATCCCGAATTTTTAGCACCTTCCGATCTACTTTTGAGAGTGATATTCGTTTTGTAAGATGACTGGTAAATGTTCCAGTCTTTTGGGAGTGTTTGGATATGAGGAAAGGATAGAGTTGATATTTCTCTCTTCCTTCCACCCTAACACTCCCAAAGGCTTTCCTGACTATGACTGGACCTAAAATCATTTTACAAGATATTTCTATTTTTTACAAGGGGTCGTTGTTTATTGTCATCCCAAATTTTTAGCACTTTCCAATAGATTTTTAATATCACTCTTCAATGCAAGTCGGTGGTCTTCTATCGGATGGTACCAAAAATCTATTAAGTCTGCAGTAAACCTTTTAGAATTTGCTAGGGGTTTTCTAAACTGAACTTTCTTATATCCTCTCCATTTTACTTATTTTTAATTTTTAAGATTGGTGTTTGGATCGCTGGCGGTTCCCAACTTGAAACCAACGAAAATAATGGTGTGGCTACTGTTTTTGAAAATATTGTTCACATGGTTTAAATTCGAACCAAAAACATTTTATTTTCCCCTAATTTTAGGGCTCAACAAAGCGTACTTCTATTGATCTTCAAAAAGATCTTTCAAAAATTGGAGCAAGTTTGTTTTCGTATACATCAAGAGAGCACTCCACATTTTTTGTTGAATGTTTCCCTAATGATGTTGAGAAAGGTTTTTATTTTTTAGAAAATTTTCAAAATTTATTTTTGGATATTCAAGGGTTTTTTAGGGTTAGAGTTTAAAACGAGACTTTTTGACCCACGTGGCAGGTCAAAAAGAGAAGAGAAAAGTCCGCACAGGGAAAAATAAACGAGGAATTAAACGGTCTTGTACAACCCTTGTTTAGACGTTAAAAAAGGAACTTAAAATCTTATAATTAGGGTCCACATTTTAATTCGTTTCCTTTTTCTCCTTTGTTGTTTTATCCCTTTTCTTTAACGATAGTTTAGGTTTTTAACGAAGTTTCATTCATTTTCCATGGAGAGGTATTGTAAAAATATAGGGAAGTTAAAAATCCCTTACTCTCCCCAACGGATCCTATTTAAAAAATAATTTTCTTTTAAAAGTTGTTGAAATCCTCTCTGATGTTTTGACAAATACAAATATTGACCAATCCAAATTAGAACAACAAAGAGCCGATGCTCTCAAACGTTTAGATTCTTATGAAGACGAAAATCGACAAGGAGTTGTTATGGATTAGTAAGAAAATAATTTTTCAAAAAATTAAAAAAATTTTTTAGTCTTCATATGACTGCTTTTCAAGGAACTACAATGGCTCATTCTCCTCTTGGAAACTCCAAAGCTTTAGAGTATTTAATGAAAAAAATTTTTTAAATTATTTTTTAGGTCATTAGATGTGAAGACTTTGGCTGATTTCAAGGCTGATCTTTGCAAACCTGTTCGTATGGTTTTGTCTTGTGCTGGTGGGGGATTTAATCATGATACTCTTCACAGAATTGCCGAAAAACATTTTGGGCATCTTAGCAATAGGTTCCTTTTATTTTTACAATATGTCCGCAAAATTTTTGCGGACAAAAATTTTTGCAGAAATTTTTTTCTAATTTAAATTAAAAACACAGTTATGACCGCAAAGTTCCTTCTGGATTTTTACCAACAAGCCGTTCTGGATTAGATTATATCCCAGCACCTCGCATTCGCTTTACCGGTTCAGAATTTCTTTATCGTGATGATAGTTATCCTTATATGTTTGGCGCTTTGGCTGTTGAAGGAGTATCTAGAGGACATATGGATTATTTACCTTTGGAGGTTTTTTTTAATTTTGTAAAACTCTAATTTTATCTAATTTAAAAAGGTTGCCAAAACTTTCTTTGGACAGTGGGACAAAACTTATGCGGCTTCGTTAAACGCCCCTTCATTACTTATCCAAAAAGCGGCAGCAGAAGAGGAAATGTTGGGATTTGAGGCTTTTAATATTTCTTACAATAATACTGGGTATTTTTTTATATTTTTTGTTGAAATTCAACCACAAAGGCTATTTAATGCACTTAACTGTGTAGGAAAAATGATTAACAATAAGGATTTTATAGGTAGACCCCCTTGCTGTCTTGGGAATTTAAAAGCAAATCTAGACCCGATTTACGCCTCCACACTTCTGGAGCGTTTCACCTATTTAACTGTTATATAGAAACCTAATTTTTCTGATTTTCAAACTCGAAATTTTTCTCAAAAAAAAAATTTTTTTTATTAAATCAGTTAATTTTTTAGACTTTTCGGCGTTTATTTTGTCTTTCATGGAGAATTAATTGAGCCTTGTTGTAATGCAATGAGTACATTGTTGCATCCTTTTAGATACATTTCAACAAGTATAACTGATGAAGAAACTGAAAGGGCGAAGAATGCGTTAAAAACAAATTTATTTTCAAATTTGGAGACAAACACCCAAATTGCTAATTATATTGCTACTGAGGTTTTTTATAAGTTTAAATTTTTAAAAAAATATTTTTGAACCAGGAAGGGTTCCTGGGCCTTCCCTTCAAAAAATGATTTTGGGAAGGTCCTCTTTATAAAATTTTTTGGACTAGGAAGGGACACGTAGGGGTGTTCCGCCTATTACTCTGAGGTTTTTTTTTTAATTTTAAATTTTTTGAAAAATTATTTTGGACCCAAATTTTTTCCCCAAATTCAAAAAAATTTGGGATGAAATATATATTTTTTTTTTTAATTTTAAATTTTTTGAAAAATTATTTTGGACCCAAATTTTTTCCCCAAATTCAAAAAAATTTGGGATGACCTCTTAAAAATTTTTTGGTTCGTAAGAGTTGTTGGGCTTTCCCTGAATTCAAAAAAAAAATTTCGGAAACGTCCACTTAAAAATAAATTTTGTTTTTTCCAGGTGTTGAGTACCGGAAAGATAACTCCTCTATCCGAACTTGAACGCAAAATTTCGTTTATTAGTGCGGATACTGTTCAAGCTGCAATGATGGACCATGTTTATGATCGAGAAATTGCATGCGCGGGAACTGGTATTTTTTCAAATATTTTTGAAAAAAAAATTATTTTTAAAGGCAAAGTAGAGGCATGGCCAATATATCAAGAAATGCGTGCTTCGATGAGTTGGTGGCGTTTATAGGAAGACAAAATAAAAAATTAGAGAAAATGATTGTTGTATAGGAATATTTTTTTGGATTATTATTATTTTAGGGATGTTTGGAAAAAAATTTGATAAAACTTGGACTTTTTATCCAATGTTTAAAAAAAGCTCTATACATATTTTACTAAATTCCTGATTGAAAAAAATTTTCCGTATTTTTTAAGAATAGGAAAATATAAGAAAATTTTTTGATTCTTATATTTTAGTAGAATTTGAGGGAGGAACTGATAAACTTTTTGTTTTTAATACAATCTTTAAAGAAACTTTAAATTTTCCAAAAATCTGATTGAAAAAATTCTGTATTTTTTAAAAGAAAATATATTATTCCTTCTTCACTTTTAAAAAGTGAAGGAGGAATAATAATTTACTACGTCTGCTTAAAGAAAAGTGGGCCTTTATTAAATTTTTATTTAAAGATAATGAAAATTATGCTTTGAATTTTAGAAAAATTAAGGCGAAAAAAATTTCAGTTAAAAAGTAATTGATTATAAAATTTTGAGCATTGAAGAATTCCTGTTCTACACATTTCTGTTGTTCTAACAACTGACATTCGATCTGCTCTTTCAAAATTGGATCTAACTAATTCATAATATTGCCCGTCACTTAATACAATTGAATGCAATTTTGGGCATTTCATTCGAAGAACATCGATGAATTTGCTTTAAATAAAGGAAATTCTGATTTTTATTGCATCAGAAATTCTGACTTTTAAAAATCAGAATTTCTGTTAAATCAGAATTCTGATTTTGCATCAGAAGTTTTTATTTTTACTAGACCGGAAATTCTGATTTCTAACAGAACAGAAATTCTGCTAAATCAGAATTCTGATTTATATGGATCGGAAATTCTGATTTTTATCAGAACAGAAATTTTGATAAAAGTTCTGATTTCTGTTTCCAGTTAGACCAAAATTCAGTTTTGACCATAATTTTAATAATTCTGATTTTTCAGAATTTTCAAGAATCAGAATCCTATCTTCAAAATTAAAAAATTTCCTCTACCTCGATTTATCAGAAAATCTTAAAGTTCCATCATCCCAACGAATTTCTAGGCGGGTTAGTGAAGGGCAGTTTTGAGCTATACAATCAATAAACTTAAAAAAAATTAATTTTAATAATTAAAAAAAATTTTTTTACCTGATCAATGTGTATTTTTGCTGTCACCTAAAAAATTAATTTTAAAATTCAAAAAAATTTTTTTCAAAAAAAATTTTTTTTTGAAAAAATTTCAAAAAATTTTTCTTGATCAGAATTTTAAATATTTCTGATTTTTTCAGAATTTTTTTCCGGAAAAAAAATTTCGAAATTTTTTTTTGTAAAATATTCTCAAATTTTTTTTTGACAATTTTTTTACTACCTTTGGACAACAATCTTCAGCTACCCCCATAACCAACACACAAACATTGTTTAATCGGGTAATTGAATTCATCCAAAAATATTCGAGTAATTTGCTTTAAAAAATAATTTGTTTTTAATTTTTCCCCCTTTTTAAATTTTACCCATGCCCTCCCAAATTTATAGCTTTTAATTGATGCCCAAAACGTGCAACTAAATCAGTCAAAGCAAATTCTGAAAGAGAATCACAAGTATCCATTGATAAATATTCAATATTGTTTATTGTGGTTGACTCCATAAATCTGTCGAGAACTTGGTCGGTAAAGTTTTCTAGCCAGCTAGCGTCTAACCCTTAAAATAATCAGAATTTATTTATTTTTAGAAAATCAGAATTTCGGTTTAAAAATCAGAACTAGTGTAATATCAGAATTTATTTTAAGTCAGAATTTTTTTTAAGAAACCAGAATTTATAAATCAGAATTCTGTTTTTAGAAAACCAGAATTTTGCTTGAAAAACCAGAATTTTGTTCTTAAAAGATCAGAATTTTAAATCAGAATTTTATTTCCAAAAAACCAGAATTTAGTTTTTAAAAAACCAGAACATTTTTTAGAAAATCAGAATTTTGTTTTAAAAAATAGAATCAGAATTTTTTAAAATCAGAACTCTATTCAAGAAAATAGAACTTAAAAAATCAGAATTTACTTTTCAGAATTTTACTTTAAAAAATCAGAACATTTTTGAGAAAATCAGAAATAATTTTAAAAAATCAGAAATAATTTTAAAAAATCAGAACTTAATTTTAGAAAATCAGAATTCTAATTTAAAAATCAGAATTTCTTACAACGTAAATGCGGTAGTCTAGTTAACAAAGAAATAAGCGTTTCTGCACTTAATTCAGTTGCTCTAATATCCAATTCTTCTATTCGCGTTTTTTCCCATTCTAATTGTTGGATTATACTGTCATCTAATGCTAAATTAAAATTAATTTTTTTTCCAAATTTTCAATAAAAACTTGTATAAGCCAAAAGGAGTGTTGTAAGCCTTTTACATCTTTGAAGGACTAAACGAAGGCAAGATCCTTAAAATTTTAAAATTTAATTTTATTCTAATAGAAAGGCAAAAGTGGTATTTATGGGTATTTGTGTAGTTTACACCCCATAAGCCCCGCCCCTTTGTCGTTTTTCCGCTCTTTAAAAAATGTTTATTAAAATATTGACCCAAACGGTCATTTTATAGGAGATGGATCGAAAGAAAAAATCTGAAAGAAAAATAGGCGGGGCTTATGGGGGGTAAACTACACAAGTACCCTATTTTATGTTTTATTCGTTCCCCCAAGTTTTAAAATTTTCTGGATGGGTGGAATAACTTTGAAGGGATGGGAAAGATGAAGAATTAGGTCAAAAAGGGGGTCAGAATTTTATTTTTAAACCACAAAAATTTACAAAAAGGAAAATTTACCAGTAACTTTAGTACAATAATTAATACATAAACACTGTAAACGGGCACAATTTGAAGATAGAGCGTCTACATGGTCATCGGTAATAAAAGGAACCTTTGAAAAAAAATAATAAATTTTTTTAAATTTTTTTAAAATTAAAAAATAAACACTTACTCCCCACAGATTGACCTGAAAAAAATTTTTTAATAAAAATAATTTCTTTGGTGTCCAAAATTAGGGCACTGGAAAGTTGAGATTCAACATTTTCAGAGTTTTGGGCTCAAGCGAAATTTTAGACTTCAAGTAAAACAACGAATGAGCTCTTAGATTTTTGATGGCGGATTTTGTGGGCTTTCCAGTGCCCAGAGATGGACCGGAACAGACCGAGGTGTCGGAAATAAGATTTTTCCAAAATTTCGTAAATTGGAAGGGAAAAACGTCGGAAATCAGAATTCCGACCCACCTCTGCCAGTGTCTAAATTTCCAAGACAAATTTTTAAAATAAACTAACCACTGTTAAATTTGGCAAATATTGCTTCAATTTGAATACATTAACCTTTAAATTTTTTTAAATTTATTTTCCATTCCATTTAATTTTTACCGTTTCATAAACTTCTTCTTCTTCATCCTCGACTTTTTCGTATGTTCCTTAAAATTTTTAAAATATTTTTAAAAATAAAAATTTAAAAAATAAACCAATAATATGCAAAATTTCAACACTCGAAATAAATGTGTAAACTTTCCGCAGAAAACCTTTAAAAAATAAATTAGTCAAACGAAGGTTGTTCCATCTCCAAAGTTACTTATTTACAATCCCAGTTTTGATTCTTTCCCCCTACCATTCAAGATCGAAAGAAAAAACCCCTCGAAAATCGAAATAGTCCCGCTTTGGGCCCAGGATCCAGTCCATTTAATTAAACCAAGCCCAGTGTTCATATCAATTAAATTCCCATCGCCTACGTCCAGTCCCTAACCCCCAAAAAATTTTTTTAAAAAAACCTTCAAGAAAAATATTTTCACTCAAACAAATGGTCAAAGAACGCAATCTACTGGGAAATGATTGGAGATCATTAAAATCGTGAAGTTGCATTGCTGTAGAAAAGTCGAGAGTTAAATATTGAAGTTTTGGACAACGATTGGAAAATTCGTGAAGAATCTTTTGAAAAATTAAAAAAATTTTTCAAAAAAATTCAAAACAAACATTTGGGGTAATTAAATCTGTTGCTAATTCACAAGAACGAAGCTCAGTGAAACGTATAGGTATTAATTGAGTAAAGTGTTCAAGATTGGTTACCTAAAAATTTTTTTTTGAAATTTTTTTTGAAATTTTTTGAAATTTTCTTTGAAAATTTTTTTTGAAAATTTAAAAAAAATTTTTGAAATTTTTAAATTTTTTTTTAAAATTAAAAAAAAAAATTTTTTTTTAAATTTTTTTACTTGAATTCCACCATGGGCAACTCTATAAAATGTTAAAAAATTATTATTTTTGATAATTTCTTCTTAAGGATTTACTACTTCCTTAACATTAAAAGTAGGGTTGCCGGACCGGCCCGATCCGGAAGGTCGAGTCGGCATCGAATTTTGGCTAAAAAAAGACTAGGTCGTCGGCCAGACTCGAAAACGGCAACCCTAACTAAAAGCCCAATTACAGACAACCAAAAATTTGATTTAAGAAGGAATGTCACAAAATTCATTCAATTCTCCCCACCTCTCCAAATTTTTTTATTTTTCAAAGGGACTCTCGCCCTTCAATTTTAATGGACCTTAAACTAAATTAGGACCTCTCCCTCCCTTAAAAATTAAAAAAAAACCTAAAAGATATATTTGTCCACAATCCAGGACTTTCAATAATTGCCTTCCATCGTCTACAAACTCTGCTTGCATTGAGCATTTGTTTTGTTGGCAAATATGAGAAGATTAAATGAAGAACTCGATCAGGCAATTTGTCGATGCACTAAAAAAACTTTTTTTTTTATTTTGAAATTATCCGAAAAAATTTTTAAATTTTGAGGCAGGACACGCAAACTATATCGCAAACAATCAAAATAAGGGATTCAGTTTCCATCACACCCAGGCAACATTATGAGATGAAATTACAAATTTCTGATTTATTACACAGTCCAAAACATCACAATCCCTAATCTATCCCACTGGACTATCAATAGAATGGATTATTGTAGTAAATATCCATCTTTCCGAGTAGGGT